AGAAAGAATATATATTATATATATTTGATATATATATATGTATTCATATCTATATTCATTCTTGGATCTCCTCTTTTTTACTTTCTGACTACTCTCATCCCTGAATAAAAGATTTTTTGAAGTAGTTATTTTCACAGCACATCCCCTTTAACTGTATTTATTTTGGCACAAAATTAATATTTCCTGCTAATCAGAATTAGTATAAATTCTTATTCGATTTTCTTTGCTCCCGGCTATTAAGTTAGCTGTGGTCCCATAAGCAGAATATTTTCAAATGTTCTGCAACAGAACTTATTAATTTATACAAATGTTCTGCAAGCATTTCACAGCAAAAAAAAAAACGACAACTTTACATTAAAATACTATATTTTCATTTATTAAAATACAGGATCATACACAGATACACTACATTATTTTTTAAACCAAGGCAAACATTCTTGATTTGTTACTTTTTCAATCACTTTTGAAGTACAAAATTTGGTTTATGATGAATTATTAATAAAATGCCTATTATACGAAGGTCCGAGCTGCCTTAGAAATCTTTCAAAGGGACAAGTGCCCAGATGGTGCACCATTTGCAAACACAAACATTCGCTGCTCTGTTGTTCCAACAACTTCTTCATCTAATTCGAAAGCATTTGGTCTTTTAGAAACAATTCTGTCAAGCGTTGATTCCCACAGTTCACAAATTGCTTCTGAAATATGAAAGTCATAAACTTTATGAAATTGAAAATCTCTGAATTGAATTGTTTTACGGCTTGCTTTTGAAGCTCTCTTGATAAAAATGGTGATCGATTTCTCCTGCTGACTGCTAAAAACGGATACACCCATTTTATAAAAATGTTATAGCCAAAAGCTAATTCATTAATTTCCTTCAAACCTTCAGGTCATTATGGTCTACAGAAGAATGTAGAAATTAGGGTTAGGGATTGTTCTGCAAGACTACCGGAGGCAGGAAGGGTGTTCGCAGAAAAACGCTGTCACTTATCCAAGATACAAATTGTTCTGCAGGACTTCGTTTCTTCTGCGACGTACATCACAGTTTTAGGCACTTTCTGTTTCTGCGGCACTGGTTCCACTTTATATAATAGAATATGTATTATACTTTTCTAACACACTTTAAAGATTAGGTTAAAACACTTAAATTTTCTGTTCAGTAAAAACGTTAGTATTTTAATATTTTAATTATCATTACATCTACCCACATTTTTTAGAGTGTTTCATTCATTTTTATGTTACAATATTTTTCATTGATCTGGCTTATTAACTTTTGATATAAAATATAAGAATGTTTTCTTGCTGTAGTTCAACATCAGATAAAAAATCTGTTTTGTCTGATGATTCTGGGCAAGACAATTCTAATCCTTCACCTTTTTGGGAAGTCTTTGCTGTTCGATTTTTAGGCTCAATGCAAGTTCAAAAAGATAGAGGTAAATTGTCATTTGTATTTGTCTGTTTTTTTATTATCAGAAATATCTAGGAAGTGTTCTTTTTTCCAATATATGTTATTTTCATTAATTATTTATATTCATTTAGTGCTTATGGTTTTAAAGTGCATGTTTTTTAAACCATAAATAAAAAAATTAGGTTTTAAAAATTATAATTTGGACATATCTTATTTTTGCAATTTTATAAACTTCACAAAGTCATATTTTTACAGAGTGTAACATAACTAATGGTTACATCAAAAAGGGGTTAAAAAACTTATCAAACGCTTAAATGCTTAAGGAGGACTAATAGCTGCAATACATGCTTCATGTAAGCTATGAAAAGAATTACAGAGTGGCTTTAGTACAGGGAAAAGTCATGGAATTTTATCAATCTGGGAAAATCAGAATAATGTTGAGTAATCTTACTAACTACACATTCAAAAAGAATTTATTGATTTGTATTTAAGGGACTTCAAACAACAATATTTATTCAAAAAAAATTAGACTTACAAAAAAAGAATTAGACTTAAAAAAAAATGTTTATTTTTAAAGCATTTTGTAATATGTTTTAAGACTGAAAATAAGGCAACTGAAAAATTAAACATACAATTTTTGTCACTAGTAAGAAACATCAAGGAAATTTGATAAAACCAGGAAAACCAGGGAATTTTTTTCTGATTGTTTCTAACCATCCTCATTAAATTGGAAAATTTCTGGCATTCCACAGTTATGAGGCTGATTCTCGTGATAAGGTTCTCTAATGATGCAATGGAAGTCTTGTAAAAGAGACTTTTTAGTTGTTGTGAGGGGGGAGGCAGATCAATCAGATCAGTAAATTTAGTTGACTAAGAGATCAACCCATGACAGCCAATTTATCTGCTTGGAAAAGCAATGTAGTATCTTAGAGAAATGTAACTCCAGAGAAAGTACCCTCTCATAGATGGTCTTTTGCTTTCCAACTCTACATTGTATGGTGTAAGATCTCTACAGTTGTAACAAATAGTTTTTTTTTTTACTCTGCTTAACATATTTTTGCTTAAAATTAACTTTATTTTATGTTTTGGTTATATTTTTCAATAGAACTTAAATTTTTTTCTTGGCATTGTAACAAAAAAAAAAAAAAAAAAAAAAAAAAAAAAAAAAAAAAAAAAAAAAAAAAAAAAAAAAAAAAAAAAAAAAAAAAAAAAAAAAAAAAAAAAAAATAGCTACTTAAAATCTGACAATTTGAGCAAGGAAATTTTTTTAATGTATTTGTTTTTATGTAAATTTGTTGCATTTTTATAAGAACACTATTAGCTGAAAAATGTTGTTGGAAAATTTTATGTATAGTGTTAACAAGAAAAGTTAGTTACACAGGGAAGAGCAATGAGTTTTATCTGTAATCAGGGATGTATACAAAGCAGTATGTAAATTGAAAGAATGAGATTTTTAGCAATAAAAAAGACCATTCTTTAAAATGACAATTCACAGGCATTTGTAGAATTTATTGCTGAATTATAATGAGAACTATGTATTAAATTCTGCAGCTGATTTTATTTTCAATTATTATTTATAGCTAGAAAGTTTAATTCTATATCTGATGTAAGTAAGTTAATAATTTACCATGTTCATCATTTCAAAAATATTATTTAGCAATTTACACATTAAAAAAAAATAAATTGCAATTCCTGTAATAATTTTGTCCATAATAAATGGTTTTAACTCTTTTCATCGACAGTCTCTAAGTGAGCTAGCATTTTCTCTTTTTCTTATAAATGTATTTTAAACAGAATGGTAAACATGTTAAATTAAATTATTCTCTAATACTAAAAATAGCTGTGTGTTTGCGCAATATTGCTGGTATGAATACATGAATGTATGAAGAATTTTAATTTTTTTATGAAGTTCCTCTATGAATTTTTAGTGGAGAAAACTAAATTGTGTTGTAAATGCGAATTGGAAACCTTTATAAATAATGTCCATTTATAGATTGTGTCATTATTTTTGAGACAGCTCAGTCCACTTTTACATTTCTAGAAGTTTCGAATATACATATGATTAAATAAATAATAACCTATAAAGAAATAATAAAAGTATTAAGAAATAATAATAATTTCCTATATTTTATACATTTCCTATACATTTCCTAAAAAAGAAAAAGAAACAAATAAACTTATAGCTGTGCTTAAGATAGGACTGTAATTCCAAGTTTTAAATTTTTGAAGTACTAATTCAAAAATGTTTAATTTTTTCTTTCTCATTATTGTCACATGATTATTTATTCATTGATAAATATTTTAGGTGACTATCTAGTGTACCAAACTATTCGCCATATAATGGCTGCTAGAGCTATTCATAATATTTTTAAGACAAATGAATCTCACATGGTTATTACTCATAGAACTCTTAAGTAAGTCAGCTTTTTTCAGTAGTAATTTACTTTTTTTAAATTTTTTTTTTCATACTATAATGAAATCTCTGTAAGTTGACCACTTGGGGCATATTACTTTAATGGTCAACTTAAACAGATAGTCAACTTATTATTGAGGGGTTGAGGAGTTTGTTTTTAATCATCATCATAACCCTATGTGTCTTTAAACCTGAGTTTAATTACCGAATGACTTATAATGTGTCACATAAATTTATTAAACTGATTAGCTTAAAAAAGCAAACAAACAGATATGCATGTTTTTTTTATTTATGCATACCAGTTATTTTTATAAATATCTTAAAATTTCAATACAAAAAATCTTGCAAAAGAAAACTTATTATTACATTAATTTCGGCATTTAAAAAAATATTTTGTTATATGTGTTTATAAACCTATTTATTATAAAGCCTCTCAGTAGTTTTCTCATATGGTTAAATCACAAAAGAGTATAGGTTAGCTTTTAAGACCATTTTTTTTATTTCATTTATTTCACAAATTCAGCAAGATTTTATTACATAATATAATAGAGTAGAAAATTTTCTGAGTGTTTTTATCAACTTATGAAGGGCTCAGGATAATATTTATTGTTACCCTTTTGACAAATTTGATGTGCTTTAGCAATCAAAAGATGTATAAGATAGAAGATAGTTGGTTAGACATAAGACTTTTGCTTCATTTTATTATATAGAATACATTTTCTTTATTATTTCGATCAGCTTACGCAGGTGATCAACTTGCAAGAGTGGTCAACTTGACAGGTTTAACTGTACTATGCCTTATTACAATCAAATATTTAACTAACAGATAAAACAGTTTTAAATAATTAAAAATAATTCGTTTTTTAGCAGATTTCAAATTTTTTGTTGTTCATCATTCTTAAAATTTTTTTTTTCAGTTGCAGGAAATTAACTAGTTTAAGTTTGAAAAAATGAATTGCTAAAGTTAGATTACTATAACATTGATTGTACTATAATATTTTAAATTGAAAAATATCATTCATCTGTAATTCCTAAGATTTTTTCCCACTTTTTTTGAGTGATTCTTCGAAATTTCTTCCATATTTCAAAGCATATCAATTTAATTTTGTAAAATCTATGCATGAGAAATCTAATTTTGTTTTAAAATAAAAAAAAGTAAAAAGTATACTATGTTTTAAAAGTAAAAAGTATACCCAGAAGTTTTAAGAGGAAAGAAAAATCATGTATTAATTTAGTTTACTGAAAAGAAGAATTAAAGCTGTTAAATTGTGTTATATTAAATTGTGTGTATATATATATTTAAAAAAATTATACCTGTTATTATTTCGTTGATTCTTGTTTATTAAACAAATACTTCTTATTTCTGCCCTTCACCAACCTTTAAAAGTATAATTCTTTTTCTAAATTCTCCTGTGATATTGAACTTTTGTTAGGAAATTTTTTATATTTGTTAATGAATGTTTTATTGTTAGAATTCTAGATCCATCTCATCAAGCTATTCGAGCATATTATCTCTTAGAAGATGTCTCCTTTTGGACTACACACAAAGAAAATAACAGGTTACACCTTAATTACTTCACCTAATGTTTTTATTTTTATTTTCTTTGATACTTTATAAAATCTAATACACATATCAAGTTAACAGAAGTATGTGTTAATAAAACTGCGTATTATGTGGCATCAAAGAGCTTTAGCTAAATTTTTTGTGATTATAGTATTTTGTGCTGTAAATAATTATTTCAATATTTAATGTTAAATTAAATTTTAAGTTATTAAGTTCTTTTCTTAAATACATCTTAAATTATACCTGAATATTAAATTTAGAACCAGGCTTTTATGTTAAATTATACCTATCACCCACTGCTTGCTGTCATTCATCAACCCTCTAGAACAGCGTTTGCAATTTTTTTTCGAAGAGCATGCACACTTAACAGTTGCTAATGCGAATAAAGCGATATGTTGGTTCATAGACTAAAACTGTTAGGCATTCTGACTGTCTCAAGCAACAAATTTATATGTCCCAGTCTAGTGAAAGCAGTTCTATACACTATACTTTAAATAAATATAGATTTTTCTCTGTAATGTAGAAATATTCCAGACTGTGACTTATAAAGCAAAAGAATTATAACCCTGTTCGTTTTTTCTAAATTTAATTTAAATAAAGAAATCTTACCTAGATTGGTGTTTATAACCTATAAACACAGAATGGATATCAGAAATTAAAATTTGCCGCATTATGTTAAGCATGTTAAAGGCATGAAAATACTTCTCATTACTTTTTACAAGAATGGGTATTAGTGTCATTTTATGTGTTTGCATGTAACTTTTTCTTTCAAAATTACAGAGCATCTGCTATTTTTTTAATAGAACTGTGACATAGCCTTTGGCACCGGTAAGAAACAAAATCAGCATTTTTTGCAAGGTTGAGATTTATACCCGTGTATAAATTTTGTTACCCTTAATGAAACTGTTAAATTTATGAACCTTATCGATGAATCTCAATTTTTTAGAAAAAACAGCTTTAGTATGAAATTTAAAAAAAAGAAATTTTTTGCTGATTAAAATTTGCTTACATTTTTTATTTTTTTATATTAAATTTTTTTTATAGATTTATATTGTACTTAGATATATATCTGCAATACTTTCTCAGATTATGAGTAAAAATATATTTATCTCCTTATCCAGCTGTCTCACAAATATTAGTTATGATTTGAGTAAGAAATATATATAATTGTTCTAAGGATAAAAATTTTGACAATTTTATCTTTTTTTGTTCTTTTCTGTGCATGATTGTATCTATCTTTTTAATTAGCAAATTAGCTTGCATTGTTCGCAGCATGAAGGGACATTTCATTTTGTTTTCCAACTATATAGTCTGTTATATTGTGCCAAGTTAAATGGATGCAAACTGAAAACAATCTTTTGGAAAACTCAAGGATGTTGATTACAGAATTTTTCTATGAATCTTACGTTATCCATTCAAGTTGAAATATGGGCCCAATTTTTTTTATTTTTTTATATTTTATTACTTATTTGAAATTCGATTTTGTTTTTATATCACTAATAAAGATGAGCATGGATTTACTCTGATAGCATTAAACTCAGACAACTGTTGAGAATGAAAATTGAAATGTTTATAAATAACTAAACTTGCCTTTGATGATACCATTTCTAAGCTCTTATTTATCTGTTAAGTGTTTTCCTTTGCATTTATGTACTTCCCTCTCTATATTTTTTAATTCATGAGAGTCATTAATTTAGTTGGCAACACAGTGAAACCTCTTTGGAGCGACCACTCTCTGTTCCACATTAAAATGGTTATTAATGGAGGTTGGTCATCTTTAGGGGTTACCTCCATCGACTTTAAAATGTTATCTAAGGCACATGATTTTTCACTAATGATTTTAATTATTGCAGAAAGAACTTTACTAATAATGAATAATAGAACTATTTTAAATAAATAAACAATTATGCTTTTGTTTAAGTTTGCCTATAATTTTATATCACAAAAATTAGTTAGCTTTAAAATATTGGAAAAGGTTTGTTTATTTGAGATGCTTAGTTTTTTTTAAATAACTTTTTTTCTAATTTAACTTTCAACTCTAAAAATAAATCATTGATTTTGACTGCAACATGAGGTTGTAAATATCTTTCAGAGATTGTCAAAAAGAGCTCTCTGAATAAGAGCCTCACACAGATTTTTAAATTGAAAAATTTCATGAGTTTATTTTTAATTGAACAATTTCTCATGTAACTCTTTATGTATAATAGAAACTTGCATCTTAAAATAACCAGGTAATCAATGCAACATTTATAATATAACAGTTTTAATTTTATTACTTTTTTAATTTTTGTACTTTATTCGATTTATAAATTCCAGCTATTATATTTTATCAAATGATTACATAATCATATAGTCCTACATAAAATGTTATGTTAGCTTCATTAAAAGAAAAAATACATTGTTCATTTGATTATGTTTAATTATTAAAATGTAAATACGTAAAATGAAACAAAATCGAAATTATCATTTGTGAAATTCCCTAATTATATTTTTTAGTATAGAGACTGTGACTGAAGCAAATGACATTACATCTGAATGTTGATGGATTTTGATTTTTATATAGTTTGTATTATGTTAGATGTAAAAAGAACATTAATTCTAATTTCCTATTAGTTTGCTTTGGTAAAAAGTGGCTATATTCCTTTGCAGGCTACTTGGCTTTATAACTAGATCAAAAATTGACCCTGAAAGCAAGCCATCATTTCACTGCCATGTATTTGAAGCACAACCTTCAGCTGATGAAGTAATAGCTTAACAATCATTACACATTTTGTAGAAGCTAATGTACATTCAGTTTTATCTTACTAAAATTTTTGTTTTAAAATTACTGATATTTTAGTTACAACTGTAGTTAAAAATCACACTCTTAACTTTTCTATGCTTAAAAATATTTCATTTGAATATGTTAGAATAAAAATAAGAAAAAGAGATAAAATTAAAATCACAATTTTTTTCAAATTATAAATGTGTTAAAAAGATAAATTTTAGTTCTATGCTGAGTATTGTATTTCTGTTTTATATCTAAGCATATAGTTTTCTTCTAGAATTTGAGTGTATTTTTAAAAATTTATGATAAATTTTAGTTATTGATTTTTTTTCTTTGTCAAGTGTAATTCTACTTCTAATTATACTTTTCTTGTAAAGCATTTTCATTTAAATACCAAGCAATGAGCATAATAAATTATTTACTAATTTGCTAATGAAAAGGCTGTTAACTAGTTAAATCAATTCAATTGTATATAACATTAGAATAACAGCTATAATTTTGTGTTCTTCGTAAAAAGTGATATCACCATAATGCTTTTTGTGTCAACAATGTTCATATGAGGCTAGAAACATAAATTATATTTTTATCTCTTATGCAAGAATAAACCGTTCTGATGCTATTCTAATAACCATAATATTACCAGTGTTTCGTTTGAATAATAGTATTAATATTAAAATATTTAAAGATTTTTTTTTATTCATTAAAAAGTAATTATTTTGTTTTAACAATTATCTTCATAAACAGGAGGGACAACTTATTGAAATGTAATTGTATTGTTGTGTAATCTAATATTATTCAAAAATTTATGAGTAATTTTCTAATTATGTGTTTTTTATGAAAGTAAAGAAACACATGATCATTCTTCATTAATTTAAATTTAATTAAATTCGAAATAAAAAAAACATATTTTTAAAGAAAAAATTTAATATTTTATATATAATGTACTTATTTTCTGAAATTCTTTATTTCAGTAATACATCTTTACTTTGTTATTTAAAAACAAAAAAACACCTTTTTTATTATATCAGATTCTCCAGACAGATTGATTATTAATAGTTTATTATTATATTATAGATCAATGATTATAAATAGGTTAAAATGTTTGTATACACACATATAAGAAGGTTCAGTTTTTCCTTACTGAAACTACTTCCCTCTCATGCTGCTTATTTTTAGAGTAAATTTTCTTCATTCAAAGCAATTTTTTCTTTATTCAAATCAATGAAATATAGATTTAAAATTTTTCTTAATAAACGTTCTGATGTATCTTTCTTATTTTAATGAATATTATGTAAAAGAAGAAATGATTTCAAGCAAATGTTAACTAATTCTTGATTCATTAGTTTTGAAATTAGCAAATCATTAACAGTTTTAAAGTATAAACAATGTTCAAATTCGAAAAATATATACACATGCTTTCCTGTGGTCTATAAATAAGGTAGCAGACTTCCATTTATTACCACGCGTAAAAAAGTTTGAAATGCAAAATATTGCTTTTTTTATGACTAATTTTTTTGTTGTAGCAAGTAAAGTGCAACAAAACAATTTTTGTCAAACTGTGTAGAAGACTTATATACTAGATTTAACCATATTCTATCATTCAGAATTTAAAAAATTTATTTTTATGAAATATTTTAAAGATAGCTGTTTTTTTCCTTCTTCTTTTAATGTGAAATACATGCAAAAATATTTTTCTTTAGATATGTACAGCATTATCCAAAGCAGCCAACATTGCTTTATCAGTTCTTTTGGTAAGTTTTTTTAATAATATTTTTGCATCCATTGATAGTTAAATGAATATGTTTTCATTTCACGAGTTGCAATTTTTATTATTTATAGGAGAAAACTCTGAATTCCACTGAGGTTAGTAATGTTTAACATTATATTTAAATGAAAATTTTAGATTGCTGTTTGAATGATTATTGTTAGATTAAAATATTTTTTTCTTAAAGTATGATAAAAAATACAAAAATACATTTGAAAAAAATTATAATTGATGAAAAACACATGACTTAAAATAAATGTTTCTGATTGTAAAAGAAGAAGAAATAATCCATGCACAAAAGATTTAAATTCAAAATTGTTATATTCATTGCTTAAGAGACCCTATCCTTGATTTAGAATCTACATTAGCTATACTAATTAAGTGCAACTATGAAATTAAGTGCAACTATGCTAATTAAGTGCAACTGTGAAAAGTTTTAGTGAAATCTAAGTGATAGACCGTTAGTTATTCGTAAATGTATTTTGTTAACTATAGGGCTTTGATATTTAATTGAACTTCTGAAATTTTGTATTCAATTGAAATAATTAACGTTATACTGTATGCTGCTTACTCAACTCAGTGGCGCGACAGCCCATAGAGGGCCAAGGCCTACTGTGCCCATCTCAGTTTTCTTGACCTTGGGCTCTGGGGTGTAGGAGCAGATATTCCGGTTAGGTGGTCAGCCGAACACGAAACCCCCAGTGTTTAGTTCCCAAGCATGCGACCCACTGAAGGGATGAAAGGCTGAGTCAACCTTGCCCGGCCCGAGGTTCGAACACAGGACCTGTGGCACGGGAGCTCGAACCGCTCCCACTCCGCCACCGGGCTTCCTCACCTTATAAAACCAATTTAAAATATCAGGTGAAGAAAAAAAGAGAATCGCTATCAAGGAAAAGAATTTGTTTTAAAGTAACTGTAAAAAAAAAAGAAAAAAACTCATAACTAAATGACTAAAAAGAAAAATGTATGAATGACCATTATAACATAACAGATTATCAAAAAACTCCTTACTAATAACTGGAAAAGGTGACATGAATAGTCCAAAATCTTTATTTTACTAATTAATTACTTCTAGTAACTTTGAATTACTCTCAAAATAATGTTATGAATATTTTTTATAATGTTACGAATATTTGATTTATTTTAATAAATCCCATTGATAGAAATACCGTTTTGATACTTTGGTAGCAAAAGACATTTTCATGATATTTTATGAGAGGTGTTCTTAAAATGTATGCAGTGTTACCCTGAGGTATTGCTAGGTTTTCATGATTTTAGCTCTAATATTAATCCTTTCACAGTAATCTGTTGCTGTTCGAAGAAGTTTTAAGGCTGCTCATCCAAAATCATTTTCACTCCTCAAGATATATTTAATATAATAATATATCTTCATATTAATTACAACTCAAATTCTTGAATGATTTTTCTTTAGTAGAAGTTGTATTAACTATGTTATGTTTGTACTAATTTCTTCCATAATTGCTGTTTCACAGTCTTAGATACATTTAAGGTATATAATAAATATTCGAAAGAAATATTACGCGACTGAGTTTGCTGCAAGACAATTTTAAGTTTTGTACAACGTGACAACATGGAAAAGTTTGGGAACCTTTCCGCTTTGATAAAAATGTTTATTTTAAGAATGAATTGATTGCCTCACCATTATTGTTGTGTGATGCCACAATGGGCATTACATATTTCCTAGTTTTTAAAATTACTTTCATTTCTTAAGCTCATCTTTTTTAATCATTATTAATCGAATTATACTTAAATTAAATCAATTATTTAATTTTTATGAAAAGCGAATATAAAATATTTTATTGTTCGCTTTTTATAAAAAGAAACTTAACTGAAAAATATGATTCGATTAATAATGAGTTTGAGTTAAAGATAGTAATAATTTTAAGATATTAAAGAAATTTTAAAAACTAGAATAATAAGAATAATGCCCATTGTGGCATCTCATGCTGTTTACAAGCTAATTTTTCAACAACATTATTGATTTATGACGGTATTTGTACTTTATGCTAGACCTCAACTTGCTTTAGTTTTTATGCTAGATCTAAACTTGCTTGCTCATTTGTAAAAGTATGCTAGAAAGATCCAGGGTGGAAAAACTAGTTTTTTCCCCCTCATACAGTATGTAATTCCACTTTTAATATTAAAACAAAGATAATTATTTTTCTAAAAAATGTTTTTACACATGCTGTAAGTAGACATGCATGATTCACACACAGATCATTTGTTGTAAGGTCAGCATTTGTATTTGAATATTTTTGTTAATATATATATATATTTTAATAATATTTTATTACTATATTAGTTCCAATATAAAAATCAAACCTTTTTTTAGGATCAAAACTTGGATAGCGTAGCTGATCCTAAAAACAGTTCTTCCCCTGAGCAAAATGAGAATATTCCAAGAGAACCAGATAAAGAAAAAAGCAAAGATGCTGATCTTCCTGAACCCAGTGATGCAATATAATTATATTGTAAATAATTTTTTAATTAGATTGGTTAGATAAAATAGACTCCAGGGTTTCTCATGGTGCCATTAAAATAACTGCTGCAATACTTAAGATTGGTCATTAGTGAGAATGATTATTTAAATGGTTGTATGATAATATAATGTCATATTTATTTTCTTTTAAGATAATTTGAATTCTGGTGTAACTTAACAATTAAAATACTTAGATTAAATTTAACCCTTTATTAGCATTAATTAGTAATTTAGTATGCACAAAGTTATTTGCTTTATTAATTTTCTATTGACCATATAATTTGATATAAGTTTTGAAAAGCTTTGATTCTGTTAAATATAAGTGTTAAATTGACTTATTAAGATTTTAAATTTTTCATGCTTCTTTCCACATTGTATTTCAATAAGGGACAATTTACCTGCTTAAGGTATTTTGAATAACAATTTTTTTACAAAAAATATAACATTATAAACTTATAAGTCTTAAAGAATTGTTTTTTTTTGTTACATTTATTGGTTCTACATTTGTAAAATACAACAAACAAAACATTATGGCTTTAGCATTCACATTTTCCTTTTGTTATCAGAATGATAAGAATATTAAACTGTTACTAGAAAATAATGGGAATGCCTCAACATTATTTTTTAAACATTTGAATCATTATAAAATAATAAAAATTAAATTTTTAAAATATTATTTGTAAATATCGTAACTCTTAAAAATTCTTGAAAAGTTAAAAATACTTATAATTTAATTAATACTTATTAACTGATTTTATTAAATAAATGGTACATCAAAATTTATGTCTATGAAAATTATGAAAAATATATTAAGTTATTTTATTTTACTAATTATGAAATAGATTATACCATTATTTAGATCTACCTGTTTTATTTTTGCACTATTATTTTTAAGATAAATATATATTAACAACATTATTTTAAAATATTTTTATGATGTTTTTTTTTATTCTAATGAGATTTTTTTTTTATCTCAGAGAAAGATGGAAAATCGCAAGTATGTTAGCTACTACTTATTAAAATAATTTTATCACATTTTATTTTTCCTTTGTGCGTAACAATTTTAAATATATGTGTTTGAAAGTGTGTTATCTAGTCTTAAAATTTATAAACTTACTATGAAAATTTCATCAAATTATGTTTTATTGTCCTATTTGTGGTATATATCTTTGGTGACTAAATCTTTTCACCTAGAAGTGATTTTAAAAAGATTTAATCTTTTAAATGTTACCAGGTGTAGCAAAAAATTGTCCCCTTTCAATCTTAAATTAATTTTGTTATATAATTTGTATAAGCTGCATCACAGCATGCTGTTATCAATATTTTAAATACTCAACTTAATCGCTGGTTTGATTTTTGTTTTCATCTGACCTAGATTAGACAAATATTTAGTTATTTGTAACTAAATATTTGTCTAATCGACTACTGAAATTTTCTACTTTGAAATGTTAAGTCAAAAATTAAAAATTTTGACATCTTTAAAGATTGCAAACGTTTAATTTTTATTTTGATAAAAATTTTAAAGTATTTATCTTAAAATGCTCGATTGTTTGATTATAAATACAAAAAGTAACATGTTTTAAATTCATAATGTGCGAGTTGTTATATATGATTTGTTATATAGTATAACTGATTTAAATGTAATATTGAATTGTTGAACCTCAGTGACACTTTTGCTACATCTACACCTTTATCTTTTTCATCACTGACATTAAAACTAATATTACCCATTTATATATTAACTTTTTTATCGATTGAAACATTTCATTTTTTGATGTATTTTATTTATCATATTCAATTTGAAAGTGTTATTTTATTGATGTTTTGTGTGTAATATAAGTAAATCGAATTAATATGGTCGTAGTGCTTAACTGTACATATTTCTTGTTGTTTGTGAAAAAGGTTGAAAATTTGACTTACATTTTAATCTAAATGGATTAGAATATTTCAACTTTATAAAAAGTAATAATAACAATTTCATTATTTTTCATCCATGTTTTTTCGATTTTAGTTTTAAAATTTATTTTTTGCAATAATTTAAAGAATTTATTATTAAACCTTGTTGTAAGTAAAATATGTGTTAAACTAATAATTTTATACTTAATATTTAACTGTTTATTCTTGATTTTTTCGTAATGATAAAAAAACTGAATTTTAAAAATATTAACTTTGTTTCAGAAAAACATGGATTCAAATTTTTGAACTATAATTCGTTTAATATCTTTTAATCTGATTTTTTTTAAAGCTTGAAGAATTTGATTTTAAAGTAAGAATTGGTGCAGATGGCAAATATCCATGACAAATCACAGATTTAACTAATGTAGCATTGTGGTGTCTTTTTTGCACATGAACCAATAATTGTTTATTAATAGTTTTGTGATAGATTTAAAAAGAAATTAGACAAGCTTTGTGATATGCATTTGTATTTTTTATGTGCTTGAAGAGTTATCAGTCGCTCAATTAAGTGTTTTTGCCTGTGAACTCAAAGTAATGTTTGTCAAATCTACAATGTTTAAGCGGGAAAAATGAAATGTTTGATCTTGTGATGTCATTTTTTAACTAGCTCTTCATAAATGGTTGTTATTTTATTGTTATTAAATAGTTACCTTTTTGTGAAAAATAACTGTACATAAAATTCAGGAATTGATTAGTCAAAATTTCCAATTTTTTCCTTGTCAGTGTGATGAAGAATTAATTACTCCTCAAACATTTTGGAAATGAAAATAAGTCTGCACATGTTTCATATTCCACTCACTACCAACCTATTTTGTACAGTCAAAAGTTTAACTGCTTTTGTGAAATAAATAGTACAGTTAACTATGTCTTAATTTATTATTTTGATATTAATTTCACCTTAAAATTCCGTTTTATTTTAAATCATTGACATGCAAAATGCTACATATTTTTAGTGTATTTTTCACAATCATTAGGTAGTGTGTCCATATATGTTCTTCTTAATAAGATTTCAATAACTATTAAAATTAATTGCATCCGTTTTCTATTTAATATTATTATACTACAAACTAAATACTAAAGAAATAATTAAAATTAATATTTTTAAAATTTTTATTACTAGGTAGCATTACTACCTGCTCTGAAACCGTATGATTTCCTTGCAATCAGTTTTATTCCAAATTTATTGTCCCTTCAAAAATTATTCAACTGGAAGATAACCAAAATTTTTTATTGCACTAACTTTGCCTAGATGTAGTCAAGAATTATAGTTCTTATCAATTACCTCTCTTAAAAGAGATGCTTTCCATTTCTACTGGGTTGAAATAACCTAAGCCATTTTACTCAGTTTTAGGCATTGGGCAGCTGATTGTAAAGATAAGGTTTATTTAAATAAAGCTGATGTGATGTAAAACAGTGAACCTTTACTTTTATTTTTTTCTACAATATGCATATATATTAAATCACTGAAATACTTCCAAGATTCAGTACTCTTTTTAAGGTCAGTAAATGAAGGGAAAAAAATCACAAAGTGAATTCTTTTGTTGGCTTATAAACTGGTCAGTGTGATGCAGGTAAGCCAAGGTGCTTGCAAGTAGCTCGATTCATTAAAGAAGCTGAACTAGTTCATATGTATGAGTGAAACCTCATACTAAAATAAAATAGTGTGTAAAATAAAGACAAAATTGTTATCAATATCAAAAGTTAGCTTTCTAATCTCTTATATGAGCTAACTCTGAAAATGAGAATTTGACAGTTCTTCACATAAATATGACACAATAAGTCAAAATGAAAACTGAGATTTCAAACCTTTTACAAAATGTAATCACTATTAGAATTTTCAAGATTTAATTAATTGAAAACACACTGCAAAATTTAATGTGCTCAAGTTAAATGGTGTCATAAACACAATTGCTGTAATAGTCTGGGACAATTAAAACCCCTTATTAACTTGTTTATACTATAGTCGGTTGGTTGCAGATAACTATCACTTTGGCCACTATGATCCCCAGATGTAACTCCCATATAATTTTGAATTACATTAAGGCACCTGTTTTAGAAGGTAAGTGACCATGACTAACTTGAAGGGCTTATGCTGCTGTTATTGAAGTTCTTGTTATAGAAACATATAACACAAGATTTGACAATAATTGCATTACTGACTGGGTAAAAACAAGTTATATAAAAATTTTTTTAAAGTCAATTCCTACTTAGGTCAACAAAGAAAAATTTAATTTAATTTGTCATATTAAAAATGAAATAAAAATTATAACAAGTGTGAACTAATAGTAGAAATTGAAAAATTAATTAATTAAATTTAATTAATGAATTAATATTTGAAAAAACTGTATTTACATCAAGTGCCATCCACTACAGGTTAAAAAAATGTATTTGAACTTGAGAGAATGAATAAAAAGTATTTTATTAATGATTGAAAATTGAGCAAGATATATAAATATATATAGGGCGAGTGTGAACTTATAGTAGGAATTGAAATACAAAGTGCATATTAAACAGATGATTACATTCAAAATATCGTGGTAATGTGTATATTTTTTGAATTTATGCATTAATTCTCATTTTGAAATGTAAATCTTAGTATTATTGACATTCATTTTGATTTACTCTATTTGTTTAAAAAGTCAGTGTTTTGAGTTGTAACATTCTTGCACTGACATTGCCATATCATTAGTGTGATATATTTTAATTTACTTAGTAATTAAAATCTTAAAAATTGTATAGCAATTATGTGCTTGATAATAACATTTAAAAGTAAAGAATTTATATCCAAACAAATTTTAATGGTGGCAAAATTCAGGACTTATTTATTTACATGACATTGACATAAGCTCTTAGAAGCTTCAAAATATGCTTCAATCTTGAAAATATATAAGAATACAAGGTGTCACAACTTCGTGTATGTTTAGAAACATCAAAGAACATCATTTTCAACAAAATGATCTAAGCAATGATAAATCTTCTATAATACATTTGTAACATCAATAGATTATTTAGATGAGATGATAATGGTAATAACAATGCAATGAAATATGAGTAATTTTTAAAATCCTATATCTTTGGCATTTTCTTTTACTAATTCTCTTTCAAAATACTCAACAGTTTTTCTTAAACCAACATTCAGTGGAACCTGAAAATTAAAAAAAATTTCACTTTGAAATTATAAGTTGCCATAGATCTATTTTATTCAATTTTAGATATATTTCAATTTGCATAGTTTACTAAATCTCTAGGAATGCATTTTTCCAATGAAATTTCATTTTAATACTTCTTTAAACATTGTGCATAATTATTTTTTAATTAGAAGTTGTAAAGGAATGTATGTATGTGACTTATGTTTTTTACAAAAGGGTAAAAAAAGAAATCAGTAAATTAAGATTCACAATAGAAAATAAAGACTGATTTCCATTTTATAATTAAGGTTAAAGCTTACTGATTTTTATTTTTTCAAGACAAAGCTCATATCTATTTCTGTTCAACTACATAATTTGTAGTGAAGGATGTTTTTCATAAAAAATAATGTTTAGAAAATCATTTAAAGAATATTTACATTAAATTCTAAAAATTAGTAACTTCATATAAGTAGGAATTTGTACCAAATATTGCAAACTTCATTAAAGAATGGGGCACTGATGGTTTTTGTATGTAATATATTTCCATTATATGATAATAGGAAATATGAAAGTATAATTAGGTAGTTCTTGTATAAATAAAAAGACTTTAAAAACTGTAAGATACAGTTAATAAAAAATATGGCAAAGGCTATTTTATTACGCCAATTTAATGAGATTAAAAAGCGTTGAAGGGATACTTGCTTAGGCATATTTCCTATAATGATTTAATTGCACAATGCCAACAGATTCATAAATCTTTTTGGCTGCTGTTTGAAACAATAGTTTTAGTTCTTGTAAATAATATAAATAGTTTGTAATAAATAATAATAGTTAGGAGCTTAGTGAAAATGGGTAAGTCACACAATAATATATTTAGACTGCTGAGCTCGGTAGCAGAATTATTGCGGCACGGCGGTGGGTGCCGTAGATTTATTTTTACCTTGCAAACAAAAATCAGTAAATACAATAAAACTCATCAAGGGCTCTACGGAAAAATCTTAGAATTCATCCATGCTGTTGCAGATCAATATATATGTTTTAACTATCGGGCTTGTAGAGTAGGTATTTCAACGTCTTTTCTTAGTGTCTCATTCTATGGGAGGCATTGCTGACAGACATTATAATAGAATTTAAATTATGCGTATGTAAATTATATTATGACTAGCCCCTACTGAATTAGAAATGAAGATTGTCTCTCAATAGAGAACGCATTGCAAGCAGATTGTAAAAAGGTTTTAGTGACGAGGGTGTGTACCAAATCATTATATCATAAGCTTTTATGTGGCAAAAATATTGTCTACGTTTGCACAGCGGTCTTTTGATAGGGTCACCCACTTTCGCAATGCTGGTCTATGTCAAGTTTTTTTGTTTTGTTTAATTCATTTCCAAGGGCCATGCATTCTTCGCAAAAAAGTTCAATGCAATTCTTGGAACTCTTGACACGTAAAGAGTACTCTTCAAATATTCTTTCAAAATGTCTATAGATTTTATTACCACTTAAAACTTCCACAGAAAAAACATAAGACTATGCAGCTTCAGAATAAAACTAAACATGAATAAAGCTCAAATAATGGACATACTATAGTTTTGATTCTGTAAATAAAAAATCTTCTGTGTCAAAACACAGAATGATAAAAGTAAAACACAAAACAAACAAGTTGCAACAAGAAAAAGAATGGTGTAACAAATAAGAAGAAAGGAATGAGCTAAAACAAGGGAATTAAATAAAGGAAAGAAATTAATTGATAATTCAGGAATATCTGATTATGTTGTTCAAACTTGTCCCTTTTCCCTTATTGGTTAAACCAATTTGTTTTTTGTTTCAAGATGTTCTCGTTTTTTTCTTCCATCATTTTATTTTTGACACTGACAAAAGTTATTCATAGAACTGAAACTTTTTCCATTTTTGTACAATCAGAATGTTTATTTTCCTTCATATATAGCACAAAATTATACTTGTATGAAATTTCTGTTTGATGTCTTTATGGGGCATATCATTTCACATAAATATTAATTAAAAGGAATGCCAGTTACAGAAATAGAATAAATGAATTTGACAGCTACTTGGTTATCATTCCTTTATTATTGCTTGCATGGTAACTACTAATATCAAGAGAGTGAAAAATGCACAAATCCTTTATGTCATATATCTATTTTTTTCAATACACACCATAATTTTATTTAAATGTCCTCTGCTTTGTAATATATTGACTGTACTTAAAATATGATTTTGGCAACATAAAAACTTACTTTAGGACTCCAACCAAGATAGAGTTTAGCCCTCTTTATATCTGGCTTTCTTCTTCGAGGATCATCTTGGATTCCTGTCTGTTTGACTATGGGGCTAGATCCACCTGTAATAAAAGAATTATCCTTTATTTAGGGTTGAAAGGTACTTAATTCAAGTTGGTCTCTATCCAAACAAACCTAGATTCTTTGATATTCTTAAAGTAAAATTTGAAAACGATTTAAATTAGTCTTTTTTTTTTTTTAAACAGCAATCTAAAAATTTGCATATCAATGCAAAAATTAAAATTGTTAATTTTTTCAATCAAAAATAGTTCATCATTTCAAGTTTAAAAGTTTCATATTAAACAAACATTTATATTTAATAAACTAGTTATTATATAAGCTCTAGATAATAATTAATCGTTAAAAATGTTTATAAAATGAATTTTAAAAAAAAAATTAATACAATTAAAAGAAAACTGCCAGTAGAAAGTGAAATTACAATGTTAATAATTAGAATAATTTATTAAAATAGCACTAATGATAAGAAAAATAAATGAGAACCACTGGATAAAATTACGTTAGGTTGTATAAAACAGATTTAATGCCTAATAATGGATTGAAATACATAGAGATAAGTAGTATATAATCATTATACTGTTAATATTCTAAGAATTTCCTGAAATGATTGCAAATTTCTCAGAGAGTTTCAGATTTTCCAGTAAGTTCTCTAAGTATTTTTTTTTTAAGTTCTCTAAAAATTCCAGCTTTTTACAGTTTCTTGAAAAAATGGTTGTCTGAAAATGGACATCAAAAGCATTGCTTTAAGAAAAATAAAAAGTAATAAAATTTTAGATATTTCACAGTAAAGTACCTGAAAAAGTAAACTATATACAGTAGGGAACCGATTATCCGGAACGATCGGGACCATCGCTATTCCGGATAACTGATTTTTCCGGTTTTCTGAATCGCTACAAAAAGCCGTTTTTTTTATTGTTAAACCCAACTAAAAAAAATTTTTTTTTGGAAATAATCTTAAAAAGAAGAAAAAACGATGAAGTAATGCACTAATGATTGTTTCCAAAATGATGGTAAGGTAAACATCTTTCAAAAAAGAAAGAAAAATCCTAAAATCATATGACAATTATTTATTTATTTTTTTTTAAATGGCGGGAAAATTTATCGAATTTTGTTCCGGTTTTTTGGTTTTCCGGTTTTCTGATTTCCGGATAACGGGTTCTGTACTGTATTTACTGTTTCATATCCTGTACTCAATCTAATAACTGATAACTAAGAAGTTTTTTCATCAAATTTCAAAGGCAAATTCAAAAATATAAAAAAATACTGATAATGATTTAATAGAACTTGACCTATTTCATAAATTTTAATTTTTGGATAATCAGAAGTTCATATTTATAATTTTTCATCATCCTAGATCAAATAAAAAGTTCATTTTAAGAGTTATATCTCTAAAAGTTTAAAACCATTCAGACTATTAAAAAAATATTATTTATACAATAGAAAGTGAAAGTATAAAGTTAATAATTAGAATAATTTATTAAAATAGCACTAATGACGAGAAAAATAACTATTTTTTTTTGTTTTAAAACTATTATTTAATATTTAAAGTAATAATTACTATAACTATGTCTTTAAAAAAGCCAGGCTTATAAGCTTTTAAAACAAATTTAAATGGTATAAGTCACAGAAAATTTTTCAATTGCTTACATGTTAACCTTTCTTGCAGAAGATTTTTTTCCCCTTTAATAATAGATAAAATGAATGAAATTTTTTGGATAAGATGCTATTTATGGTTTGTTTATAGAGCTTTTCTGTTATCTCCTAGAGGACTTTTAAAAATAAAATTGACAAGGCAAAAGGTTAGTATCCTTAAAAACTCGTCATCAGAATAGGTACAATATTAAAGTGGTCTTTCATAGAAGTTCTAATAATAGTATCAAGGATAAAGTATTATATTAATATTTGTTGATACAATTTATATTCTTTCTTGTTCAACTAAAAAGAAGTAGCAACTTTAAAATTTGAGGTAAGGGTTAAAAAAAAATAATTACCAGAGAAAAAGTGCAGTACCAACAGATTAATTATGTTTTACACAACTTTACAAGTTATGTTTTAAAATATCAACTTTTTTAAATTAACTTACCGACAATGTCTTTTATAACAGTGGCTAGTTGCTCAATAGTATATTCTTCAGGATTTCCAATATTTATAGGACTGGAATAATTGCTATTCATTAGCAAAACTAAACCATCTATTAAATCACTAATATATTGAAATGAACGTGTTTGTTTGCCTGATCCATAAATCTAGAAATAAAAGAAAAAGATTCAACAATAAATAATAAGGTCATTTCTATTTGACTTGAAATATAATTTTTAAAAATGAAATAATTAATAGATAATTTAAATGAGAAATATTTTAAATGTATCATACTACAAGCTAGGGAATCAAATTATCATAAACTTTACAAAAAGCTATATTTGCAATAAAAGAAACCAAAATTAATATAATTATCAAGGCCTATTTCTTTTCTTCACACTTAGAATCACTTTCTTATCACACATAAANAAAAAAAAAAAAAAAAAAAAAAAAAAAAACAATTCTAATAAAATGTGATCAAACAGAAAAGCAGTTTAAAATATACAATTAGCAATTGATAATTGTATATAAAAACTGCTTAACTAAAACTAATATAAGATTATAACTGCTGTTATAATTGCATATTAAAAAACTTGAGCTTATGATCAATTCAATTCCCTTCATCATTTAACATGGTGAACAGTTAACATTATCATAATTTTTATAGGGCAATACACTGACAAAATTTATTAGCACCCAATGTAGTAAATTTCAATATAAAATAATTTAAAAACTGTATAAAATTTATTACTAACTTCAAAATTGTTTTGGTACAATTTTAAATAATTATTTAAAAGGTAGTAACAGATCCAAGTTTAATTTTAAGATGCTAAGGATATGTATGAGAATAATATGTTTTAAACTGATTTAACCTAATGTATTGAAGTCTGTTGAGTTACATGTTTTTTCCCCAGCATTTTTGTTGACAACATACATGGCGGAAATTTTATAGAAAAGATTTATTTCCAACTAAAATAATGCTTTTTCTATAGAATATTGTTATACACTTGTAAGCAAGAATGAATACTTAGTTAATGTGATGCAAAATTATGTATACACAAAGTTAATGCAGTTTCATGAAGTTTCACCATTAGAAACCAGAAAACCTTTGAGAAATTTTTTGAACATTAACATGATTTTAAAGTTAAGCATAACCGACAAAATTTCTCAGACTGTATACATTTTTTTAATTTATGTTAGAATTTGGTAGCAAGTTAAAATGTCAAGAGTGCAAACTCTATGATACAAACAATATAAATCAGAATTAGAAATTTATTTAATCAATTAGAAGCTTGCCGGCTAGAAGTAAAGACATGCCACAATTTTAATATTACATTTTCAATGTATGGTATATACTTTACACTTGTATTTATTCTATTACACTAAAATGAGACTTAGAACCCTCACAGATTCAGTTCTTCAATTGCATTAAATTTACTCACAGTTATTGAATGATTTTGCAGACCTTGTTGAATAAAATTTGAAACTACTCTCCCATCTTTGATGTGCATTCTTGGTCCATAAGTATTGAAGATTCGAGCTACTCTGACTTCAACATTTTCCTTTAAGAAAAAAGTAAATTGTAATTTTAAATCTTAGTTGCATGATATTTCAAATTAGCTTATTGAAGTAAATAAAAAAGTATTTACTATTAGAAATTAAAATATTATGCATATAAATAAATATTTGTTTGATTTAACAAACAATTTGGTAAATGTATTTTTTAATGTTTGATTTTTATGGCTTAAACTTCTAAGGAAAAGAAAACAAAGGAAAAAATTATAGCTGTTAACCATAGTATAATTCTAATTAGAGTTTAAGCAAAATTTTTCATTTTTGTTAATTATAATTTCATTTTGAAAATGGGCATCTTGTTAATTTAATAAATGATAACGAATGTTAATTTTAGTAAAAAACGTTAATTTTAATAAACCTAAATGAAAATATTGATTTTTACAAAGCCTATTTAAATAAAATGTCAACTTTTTTTTGTAATTCAACTTAAGCATCAATGACAATATTTAAAAAATAATATTAGCTTAAATAAAATGTCTAAAAACTGAATTGTTTGCATATTTTATGTTTCTTTGAGAAAAATTGTTCACACTTAAATTACAAAATATTAAAATAATATTTTGTAAAAAGTGCCTTGAAATTTTTTGTAACAATTTTGTCGATATTTCTTTTAAACTATGAAGTTAAAGGCTTTCTTCTCCTTTAAAACTTCAGTTTAAAAATGTAAAAATCTATCAACCTTAAATATTTATAAAATTACTTGTTTGGCATATGCATAACTCAAAGCCTCGGCAACTCTTTTTCCTTCATCATAGCATGAACGAGGACCAATTGGATTTACATTCCCCCAATAATCTTCTGTTTGGGGATGGATCTCTGGATCACCATACACTTCAGAAGTGGAGGCAACTAATATTCTAGCTCCAACTCTTCTAGCTAAACCTTAAAAGTGATTTAAGAAATTGCAATTTTGTTAAAAGGCAAGCATATGTATGGCAGATGTAATAAAGTAATGTAGTATAGAATATACAATAATTTTTTGTAGAAAGAAGTGATTTTGACTATGAATTGAATCAATTGCTGTTGATATAGTTAGTTAAAGACTAAATAATAAGTAAATAAATAAAATTAAAATTCTAAATAGACAGTCCTAACTCTTTTAGTTAAACTTCGAAAACAATTTAAGGAACTGTTAAAAGACAAACAAATAGTTGATTGTTGGGGAATAAGATATTTATCTATATATGTAATAAACAGATAAATATGTTATGAAGTATGTAACAAATAGAAATTTAAGTGATTTTTAAGGATAAACTGAATAGTGAATGTATCTATTAATGCAAGTTGTTGAAAGCTTAGAGAATTTGAAAAGATAATAGTTTTGGTTTTAAGAAGTCTTACTTCAGTATCAATCTTTAGATATTTGATAAATGAAGTAAATACAACAGTTCAATTTAAACTAGAAAAATTGCACTCACTTTTTAAATAGAATGTATATAACACTTGAACACTTTTGAAATAATAACTTACCTAATAAATTATTAGTACCAATTGTGTTTGTTTTAATTGTCTTCACAGGATTCAGCATGTAGTGAGGTGGGGAGGCAGGGGAAGCAAGGTGATAAATCTGATCCACTTAGAGGGGGGAAAAAATTACGATTCAATAATATATAACTTAGTATAGAAAAATTAGCATAGTAAATTAAAGCATATTTCATTAACATAGTAAAAAAATTCTAATGAAAGCATAATTTTTAAAAAAAAGTAAAAAAAACTTTCAAAAAGTAAAAAAACTTTTAAAAAAACTTTCAAAATAATTGTTTGTTTGATTACCTTCAACATATAAACTGTTAACAATGTCATGTCTAATTAATTCAAAATTTTCATGTCCGATCCAGTGCTCAATATTTCTCTTCGAACCAGTATAAAAATTATCTACAACAGTAACTTCATGGCCTGCAGACATCAAACGGTCAACAAGATGACTACCAACAAAACCAGCTCCACCAGTAATCTAAATCATTTAAAGACACATTGTTTAAAAATAATTTATTTTCAGAATTAGCTTTATATTTAGCCACCAAATACGTAATAAAAATACAGAAATGTTAAACTGGCTTGGGAAAAATGATAATTTTTAAAAAAAGAAAGAAATTATCTTTTTTACCAAGTTTGTTTAACATTTCTGTATTATTTTTGTTATGTGTTTGATAGCTAAATATATTTGTCTAATTTTTAAGCAACAGTTCTTAAAAAAATATATATTTTTTTTAAATTGATTTTTTTTTAATGTTTATCAATTTAGGCTCTGATTAAGTGCATCAACAATAATACAAAAATGTTTAATACTTCTCACTAAAAATGGTTACTATTCTTAACTAATTAATACAAACTAATCACTGAAGAAATAAAATAATAATGTAATTCAAGCTCCCCCATTATAAAATACCATCATGACTTTAAAGCTAAGAAGCTAATTCATTAAAAAAAATCAAATGAAGAATAAACTAATTTAGATTCGAAAACATTAAAAAAAAATTATTCTACATTACTCTCAGAATTAGTTTTTCTTCATTATTTAAATGCATTAGTTACAGATTAAATATGTTTTAAAAGCACTCACATTGAAAAAAATTAAACAAAATGAGTATAATTGCAATATTTATTAAAAGATATTAAAACGGAAAATTTTATTACATACCACTATTGTAATACTATTATTTAAAATATTATAACAATACTTTTGATTTTAAAAAATGATTTTTTTTAAAACTCAAGTAATTTAAATCATTATTTATTTTTTTTAAAAAATTAAGTGATTAAATTTGATTTTTTTTAAAAACAAATTAAGTGATTTAAACCATACTAACCTACATAACCAGATCAGTTAAAAGTAAAAATTTAAAATAAGAAAATCTTACTAATATTCTTTTTCTTTCATTGAATCCTAATGATTTTACTTTTGGGTAAGATTTAGAAGTAATCATTTGAAGTCTGTTGACTTGTGCTGCTAGATTTTCTACTTTCTGATTCAGCATTTCAAAGTGAAAATCATCTCTAAAGAAAAAGAAGAAAAATATAAACAACAATCTTATAACCTTCATTTTTTACAACACCATAAAGTGGTTTTGTAGAATCAAAAATACATTAAAATATTCAGAATAATCTTCCATTACAGTTTATGTTTTAAACATCAATAATATTTATAGGTTTTAATTAATTATATTATAGTTTTTTTCTGGGAACTCATTACAGAAAGACAGAGATCTATAAATACTGGTTACCACTACATCAAAAAAAAATCACAGTTGGTACTCATTATTTTAATTAAACATAACCTGTTAATAGTTATAAGACTTAAAATTGAAAAATCTGAATATTTTTGAGGAAAAAATAATAAAGGATTTTTTTAAAACATTATTATATTTCTTAGTTAAATATAAGGTCTGTGCACTGAAATTGTAAATCATACTTAGGACCATGTTAGATTATAAAATAAAAGGATAATTGTCTTAATGTAGTTTCAGAATTTTATTTATTTATTTATTTTTTGAATTACTTCAAATATTCAACTTTTATAGATCCTTTGTCGAATGAGATTGTACTTTATAATCAATAATACACCTAGTAAACTTTAATTGCTTTCATAAATATTTCTTGTACCTTCTCTCTCTTTTTAATTTAAAAAGATTGAACATTTTTTAACCTATTGTGGTTTTGATATAGTTATATTTGATTTAATATAGCTATATTTGAGGCTAGTTTCCACACAGTGTTGTGGTAGGAATTTTTTAGTAGGAAAACACTACAAAATTTAAATCTTCATGTAAATTTTTTTTGCAAATAACAAACATGTAAAAGTACAATAGAAACTTATATTTTCTAACTACATTTTGCTTAAAATTAAGGGTTTTCTCATTTAATTTAAATTTGTAATACAATTTAATGCTAAAAAATACAGCAATCACTAAACACAAATATCATATAGAGGGGAAAGTAGGGTAAGATTGTGTAACTTAGAATCGAAAGCCTGTTGGTGCTAAATAGGTCAACCTAGTAACTGTGAGATACAAACAAGATATTTATTGTTTATTATCATTCCTAAAAAGTTAAAAATGTACTATTCTTTATAAATGATTTTTTTCCCCTAGAAAAAGTAAAATCACCTAATCTTGCAATGGTAGTGGGGTAAGACTTGGAGCATTTATGTAAACTCTATTGGAAGTTTCGAAATAGAACTAGAATTTCAGTGAAATATTAACAGACATTTTTATTTGATATGACAATTTAAGAATATTATGCACACAATTCACATTATCTTCGTTTTCCACTCCACTGCAGCTTTAGTGGGTGAACGAAAAACACTTATCATGTTGGATTTACCATTTTTAATTTTTTTACTATTTCTTTTCGAGGTGGAGGATGCATTTTTACGATATAAACAATCAGCATATGATATGCCCTTATCTGCTTTCACAGGAAGAAATATCAATAAAGGGTTTAGTTTTTTTGATAATCTGCTATCTTATAATGGTCATTCATGAACTTTTCTTTTTAGTCATTTAGTTATGATTTTTTTTATAGCTACTGTTAAACAACTTCTTTTCCTTGATAGCGATTCTTTTTTTTCTTCTTCACCTGATATTTTAAATTGGTTTTATAAGGAGAGGAGGCCCGGTGGAGGAGTGGTAGCGCTTCGAGCTCCCGTGCCACAGATCCTGGGTTCCATCCTCAGGCCGGGCAAGGTTGACTCAGCCTTTCATCCCTTCAGAGGGTCAATAAATGAGTACGAAGCATATTTGGGAACTAAACACTGGGGGTTTCGCGTTCGGCTGACCACCTGACGGGAACGTCTGCTCCTGCACCCCAGAGTCCAAGAAAACTGAGATGGGCACAGTAGGCCCTGGCCCTCCATGGGCTGTCGCGCCACTGAGTTTAGTTTAATTTTATAAGGTGAGGGTAGCACCTAGACAAACAGAAATTTGTTCTGCCTAGTCTTTTCTCAAGAACAGAGATTATTGAAACAAAACAAACTATGCTCCTACTAAATCCTTATTGATTGTCAGGATATGAATCCTAAGTAAATGCATAAGAAACTGCGTCTAAAAATATTTTTTATAACGGTAATGAGCAAATAAATAAACATGATTTAAAAACAAAAGAACATTAGAAATGTGACACAGTGAAAAAACTTATCTAGACAGACACACAGAATTAAACAACAACATGACATTTTAGCAGTTTCCTTTTCTTTCTTAGTAGAGTGTAGTTGAGAGTCAGCAAGAATAAGAAAGCAGAACAAATAAGTCAGATTTCAGGTACCAGGTCTTTCCTCATTCACCCTATATGTATCCATTTTTATTCCCTCTAAAATTTGTCCGCATAGCAACAAAAAAACTTTTTTCATTTAAAAAAAACTGTAAAACTAAAAAAAAAAGATTTTATTGAAAAAACCAATGGGAATACTAATATGAAAGTTCATCAATATAATGAACATAAAAAATAAGTTCTGGGTTCATATGTTGCCGAACAGTCCAATTCTAAGACTTCTATATTTGACACATAAAAAAATTTTAAAAAATCTGCAAAATTTTTCTCAGAATAATAAAATCTACTTTTGTAAATAAATTCTTATTTTAGGCTCATAGTAATTTCAATGGTTAACTTGCAGTGATTGAGATTATAATTTTATATATATATATATAAATATATATATATATATAACAAATTCTTTGCATAAACTTACCTAGGATTTAATTTTGAATTTTCCAATGCATCAGCAAGATATTTGAAGCTAAGTACAACTGAAAAATTAGAAAAATAATTAATTAATAGAAAAATGATTTATTTTAACTACATTAAAAGTTACTTAAAATAATTGATTCATATATTTATTTTAAAAATTGAATGAGTGTAAAGAAAAGCAATAAGTTTTGAAAAAGTTAAAATAAAATAGTAATCAGTGGTATTTATCTGTTTATGAGATTCATAGAAAATCAACATGCTATCTTTGATGCCAATGTTTCTTGATTAATTGAGTAACAGGTACTATTGTTATTGCAGTAACAGGAAATAGGTGCCCTTATGGTTATAGGTGAAGGTTTTTTATAGCTCCTTTTTTAATATAAGTATTATCATTGGTATTTATTTATTATACTAAATACAAGTTCAGTTTAGAATAATTTGTATCATAATTAATTGCTTATATATTATTAATTGTTCATGCATTATTAATTTGTATTGTTTATATTATTTATAAGTTTAATTTTTATAATTTTTCTTTGCGTGATGACACTGACTAATTAGCATAAGAAATTGGTTTACATTTTTCGAATATAAATCATATTAATTTTTTTTCTCTTAAAAACTTAGGACACACCTCCTTTACACTTTAATAATTTCAGTGATTCTTGCAACTTTCGCAAATAATAAAATTTTTTATAGCATTAATTTTTTATGAATAAAATTAGAAATACTTATTTATAACATTAATTACTAGTTGCATTTCTAATTTAACTCATTTGGGTAAATATATTTCTACTTGTTTTGAAATTTTTTTCTTATCTCACGCAGACAATAATAATTGTAAATATTTTAACAAAATAAAGAGAAAATGCTTCCATTGTAGATACTGTTTAAAAGTCTATCGAATATTTAAAATTATAAAATAACTTACCGGCAAGAAGCAGAACTACGAAAAGAAATATGCAGAGTAATCTCATGTTGAATTTGAAACGATTTAGCATAATAAATAACGATCAGTGAAGGAATAAATTACAAATGTCATAAAATATTAACTCCTCAGTCTCAAGGAGGAATATAAAATGAATTGAAATACGTATAACATTTTAAAACACGGAATATTCAAACTACCTTCCGTGTTTTTGCTCTTAAGTTTGTAAACAATGCATCTTGATAACTTTATTGATTAGCTTCCGGTGGTTCATTTTTGTTACCGTCCGCCCTGACGTCATGCTTGCAAAACCTGCTATAAATAAATCTCAGAGAGTGATTAATGAAATGAGATAGTGAAGATAGAGAAATGAATGATTGATTGATGCGTAATGGCATTGCCAGCACGTTTATAGTTTTTGGAACAAGAATTAAGGAAAAGGAAAGGACAAGAATTTTGAAAAAAAGAGAAGAAAAGAAAAATATACTCCTATAATTGATTCGAAAATTATTGAACTCGAAAATTATTTCAAAATATTATTATTTGTTATTTCCAACCTAAAAATTACTTTGATGAGTATTATTTCGTCCCTAGGTCGGGCCCTACACCATGCTCCCCCTTAAAAGTCAATTTAAAAAAACAAAAAGCAATTATAACTATAAATAAAGATTTTGTTTAAAAAATATATAATTATTGCAATTTTATGCAAGAAAATTTTGTTAATTGTAACAAAATGAACTATTACTTGGAATTTGAAATTCAATCAACTGTACTTGAAAAAAGAATATTTAAATTTATGAATACAGAATGTTTGACACAATAAGAAGTAATAAATGAGTAGTTTTACTAAGTAATTTTACTTATTATAATTCAACAATATTTAAAGATAACCTTAAATTGTACAATGGATCAACGGTTTTAACACCCTTGATATTTATTATGGTAGTTATTAATTTTATATTTTTTTAAATTTCCATATAAATGTTATGATATCTATCAATAATATCGGACAACATTTTATCTCTTTCTCTTACTTTTTATTCTATTTATTCTTCATTACTATTGTTATTTTATTTCTTTTTGATCGCAAGAGAGAGGAATTTTTCTACAACAATGGATAAATAATCATTATTAAAAACAAAAAAAAGGTGAACAAAAAATTCTTGAAAAAGCACTTAATACAGTAATTATCTTTGATAAAATTAGAATTGCGAAGTTCATAATAAACAATATTTTTTTAAAAATTCGATTTTTCATTAAATATTGGACCGATTTTACTCAAAATTTGTATTTTGCCATGTAATAATTGTATACCTTAAAATTAAATTTTTTTCGACTATTAAATAAAATAATAAATATTTACTAAAAATGATTTTTTTGCAATTAATTATCACAATATCTTGGACAAAAGAATTTTATAATTGTGTACAAAATTTTATCAATTCCATTAAAAAGTTCTCGAGATAGAGTAAAATAGGCAAAAAGTAAAATTATCATTAAGCGGTCCGAACTTTGGGTAGCTCTCCTGACTAAAATATTGAGATTATATTTCCCTGATTGCGGCTACTCCCTATATTTTGGGTGTCAGAATCTCGAATCCGTCGAAAAAAAACTACGTTTATTCAGAGAAAGTCCTTGGTTTGATTTCGTATTTTAAAATATCGCCTGCTTTAATTTATTAGTATATTTGAGGTTACCCCTTTAAACCATTAAGATTGCGTCCTAGTAAGTGAAAATCCAATTAATAGATCAAAAGTTATTTAGCGTGTTCCGTTAATTTTTTTTCACACTGTGCATATACACTATCAGGCACCTTACTGCCTTATTCAGTATTGTTCTAAGTGTTTAAATAATCTACTATACAGATTAGTAAAACGTAATTTAGAACGTATAAAATAAGTTCCATCTTAATCTTAAATAACTCCCAGACGATAAGCTGGGGTATTTTGTAGGGGGCTTCCAAATTGCCAAGAAAAATGTTTCATTCTTGAACAATGTGAAAACAAAACCGTTAGCATTTAAACTTGAACAATGAACACTTAATGTTTATTTTACCTACATATATCCTTATTACCAAAACACAAAAACATCTACATTTTAAATCTAAAATATAAATTTATGCAAACCACAGTTACGAAAATTTCTAATTAAAATTTAGAAAGCTGGGCTCCCAAATACATAAATTTTAGTTGACACTTAACTTTATTACCTTGAAATACGCAACTGTAAATTCAAACGTTTGCCCTCAAACATATTAATATTATATAAACGATCTAACAGAAAAGCAATAAATTTGATTGCATTGCATTGAAAAGAGAAAACGGCGAGCGCGGACGATGAATTCTGTTACTTAATTGCTTAGTTAATAAATAAAAAAAAATCGCTTTCAAAAATAAATCATTCTCAAATATGACTGAAATTTCTTATTTATTTGAAGAAGGAAAATGACGTTTGATATTTTCTGAAAATAATTCCTGTCTTTCTTAATACAAAGCAGTTTCGTATATGACAATTCTCAATATTTAAATAAAAATATGCATTTTTGTTGAAACGTTGGATAACATTTATCGTTTTAGCATATATATACTTTTAAAAGAATTAGTTTCACCTTTCTTCTTAATTTCTATCGTCTGAATTTTTTAAATTCATTTTCAACATGGCAAATCAAACGTTTATGTTTTTTCTAAAATTTTCTAACTTCAATCAACTTGTGACATTGCAGTTGCACATTGATTATTTAGACGATTTTGAAAACTACAGTTTGTTTCATATTAAAGTTTTAAAATGCAGGTAAATATCTTAATATATTCTTTATATAAGATTTTATGTTTTTTTCAAGTTAATTTTTCTTTCCATATCGAAAGATTTTAGCTGATTTCACTTTATGCAGCGATTTCGTTTCATATTTGTTAAATTGATTTTTCCATTAATGATGAATATAAGGCAATAATAATGGATATAAATAATTTCTTTAGTCAGAAAGTAAATATTTATTACTTCAATCGTTATATCTTAATTTTAGGTAATCAATGGAGAATTTGAAATTTTGATTTAAAAACGCCTAAAAAATACTTCACTACTGCTTTTTCTGGATCATTGTGCAGAAAAAATTCTATTCTGATAAAACATGAATTATTAAACTAACAGAATTAACTTTAACTTCTTGCGTTTACATACATATTAGCCACTTCTGATACATATAAACTCTTTGGACATGCTGAAGAAAAATATTAGTCACATTTCGTCGAATTTGAAACAATTTGATGAACAATTGCTACATTTTGATTTTAGCTGATATGGGAGTGCATTTTTCGAATATTGATTTTTTACTTTGACCTTTTTAGTCAGATTTACAATCAAAAGAGAACCTTTTAATAGACATATGTTTTCCTCTATATTATATTTTTACAATGTGTGTGTATATATATATATGAAATAATGCTTTAAACAAAAATATATCCATACATGGAGTTATAACATTTCTTTAATTTATTCCTGAATGCAAAAGATCACAACACTTTATCTTGTAGCAAAAGATATCGAAATTATGTATAAAAATTACGTATACGTACCTTTACAACGTGTCTTATTCTACGATTTAAGTAAAATCAAAATTGTGGGTAATTTGAATTAACACTCTTTATTTTCGCATGGCCATAATATTTAAAAATTTTCTTTTCTGTGTTCAAATAAAATTCGGAGGCAAAGTTTTATAAATTTATATTCTATTTTTAATGTATAATATTCAATTAATAATTTTTTAAGGGGTGGAATTTTCTTTCTATATCTGAAACGCTACGTCGAATGTTAAACTTTGCTAAGATGCCATCTGTTGGTTTTAGTCATAATAAAAAATAAAAATAATGTCAAAAATCTCCTTTTATTTAGGTTTTTAGAAATTGTCTCTGTCCAATATTCCTCCTATAATAATATAGGTGAAATTGTATAAATTATAGGATCTAATGGAAAAAGCTTATATATGGAATAAGCTTTTGCTTACTTAAGTTGCGCTTCTTTCCAAACAGAGTTTTTCTTAACCATGGGTATCCAATTTTTGACCGTTAAGGAATTTGTCGTTCAAAATACTGTCATTAAAAAAAAAAAATAAATAAATAAAAAAAAAAAACACTAGTTGTAAATGCAACAATTATATGCACACTTTTAAACTCTTAAGTAAGGCGAAAAAGAAAGATGATTGAGCTGGGAAGTATCGTTAGAGAATAGTCAAAATTTCTTCATTAATTATTGTAAGTAAAGTTTAAAACAATCTGAACAATATAAAAATAGGTCTACACGTTTTGGTAATGCATAAATAGGTTTTGTAATAGCTAACTTATTACATATTGGGATAGATCCTTTCAAAAAAGAAATAAAGAAAAACATTCACATTAGGGCTCACCAATTAATCTTAAAACGTATATGAATAAAAGGATTTCAAACTATGAATAATCACTATCGAGGTCAATAAAAATAAATGCGGGATTAAAATTATTTTAAACTACGTAATTTTGTTTAACTAATTTTGCTATGTAATTTTTAAACATTCACAATGCTATTTTTATAAGGGACTTTATATGGAAAAGTCAAAATGATGTTCAATTTTTAATAAATAATTTGATGAGTTTTAAAAAAAGTCATACTTTTTTATTACAGGGAATTGATTTTTAAAGAAATAAACTTGATTGCTTGTCCAGAAAATTTTGATGGACCTTATTTAACAGCTGTTGTAGATGTAAGTAAAATGACATTACACCCTCCAGTGTTTTTAGTCATTGAAATCACTGTAAGTTTTAGTGATTAAATCACTTCAGTTGGCAAATTTGATTTGAAGTTTGAATAATGAAAATAAAGACAAATTGTTTTTGATATATATATATTATAACATTTGGAAACAAATAAATTTTTTGTGTATTTCTCTGTTAAGATATGTTTTATTTACAATATTTCATCATTAAAAATTTGTTCCGGAAAAAAATGTTATTATTTTTAAACGAATTTTTATACAAATTACTTTAAAAATAAGTTGCCTGATGAATGAAATAAATTGTATAGTAATAAAAAGAAAATTATAAAAATTGACTATCATATTAACCTAATAACTTTTTGCTATGATTTCGTGCAAGACGTCGTATTTAAATCTGTGCGATGAAGCTGCAGGGCAGATTTAATATTTAGTATTGATGATATTTTGCTTCTTAGCTAAAAAAAAAAAGAAAAAAGAGACGTCATTTTGCTATTTCATCGTCAAATATTTCTACACCTATGAAAGATAAAGTATTTCAATTTAGTGCAAAATAAATTTTGATTCTTCAACTAAAAGGTACAGAAATGAAAACTGCAATTGATTGCAATCAGAGACATTCTGAGCAACGACTAGCCGTAATTTCGGGCTTTACTCAAAAGCTTTATTCAATTTTTAAAGAAAATTTAATTAAATGCTTAAAGAAAAGATAGTCGATATTAAATAAAGTTTCTAATGCATATTAATTTATTAAAATATATTTAACTCGGAATACAAACAGTTTTATAAAATCGCAAACTCAAACTAGTATTAATTATAATATTAGTAATAAATCAAATGTCATTTTAACGACGCATTAAATATTTCTCTTAAATATATTCCAAGTATTTTTTGTTGTTGTTGTAGAAAAGCATGTTTGGAGTACCATCATTTGAAAATATTTTAAGAGAAGTTGGAGTGTCCATTGTTCATTTGAAGGATACGACACTTGCTACAGTGCAAGAATGTCTTCAATATACTTGTACAGCAAAATTGTCCCTTTCATGGAATATTTTAGGAGATATGTTAGTTCAAGGTACGTATGTTTTTACAAAATGTGAGTAAGGAATTTAAAAATCAGAGAAATTGCAGTTATACTAAATTTTGTTTTCTAATTAGGTGCCGAATTTTTAACCTCCAATGAACCCATGAAAGCAGTTAGTAAGTTGCTTATTTTTGTTCTTTTACACTTTTAATCGTTTCCATTAAAAAGAAAACACGTAAAAATTAATTAAAGAATATCCTTGAAAAAAATATTATTTATTTATGAAAGAAATCCTTTGTAAATATTTTTGGTAAAAAAGGAAGCACTTTAAGAATTTCACGAGAAACTTTCAAATCAATATAAAGTTTTAAATCCTACGATTTTTTAATAACTTTTCTGATAACTCATATCTTTTCATAACTAAACAATAAAAGTAACGAAGAGAAGGTTTTCTTGTTCTGGAAATCGTAAATTAAAAAGAAAATTATCTATCACAATAGAAGAAATAGTTTAGAAGCGCATAAATACACACTTCCATCTAAATATAATCTTTCCGAGACAGAAAAACATCCGATGACTCTGCACTTACACGCTCTGCACTTACATGCTTATATGAGAATTAGATTGATATGTTTACTTATAGTATCAAAGATGTTTATGTTATGCATGGTTTATATCTCATCAAAGAATGCAGCTGTATGTATATAAGATTTTTTTTTTTACATCCTCAGAAAAACCGATTCAAAGTTGAATCATTATAACGGTATCAGTGAATATTCACTACTTTATAAGGGATTAAATTTAAACGCTTTTCCTGGATTATCAAGTTAATAAGAATTCAAAATTACACCGTATTAACGTTTCCACAAATTTCAATGTTAATATGGCTAAGCACTCTCCTGAATTTCTAACATTATTGAGTTGGTTTCATTTATAGAATATTTTCAATAAAATTTTTATGGTTAACGTATTTGTTAAATTTGAATTGAACCACAATTTTTTGTGATGTCAAAGTAATGTTTGAATTATTCATGATTCAATATTCTAAATAAATATCGAAAGTAAGTTGGCATTTACATTTGTAATTGAAAGCAGAGGAATATTTCTGTATTGAAGTAATTTTAAAGAGAAGAGAAAAGTTAATGCAAATTATTTGTTTATCATAAGTTATTAGCTTATAATTAAAGAAATTATATAAATCTTATGTTTTAGAAATGGAGATATTTGTTGGAGCTGGGGAAATAAGTCTTTGTCTTCATCCTATGTGTATCAGAATACCACCTTTAAAAGTGAGTTGCATAGATTTTTCATTTAAAAAGAACGGCAATAATGGTTAATTTATTCACTTATCACAAAATTTAAAATATAAATTCCATTGTTTATTCTTTAAAAAAATTTTTAAATATATTTTTATTCTTACAGGAAATTAAGTACAAAAATGTACTGATTTGTTAGAGAAACATAGGAGGTTGTCAAAGCAACAGCATGAAGCTCCCCATGTTAAACTCCAAACAGATATTCATCATTATTAATATACACGAAAAGAATAGTTTCATAACAAAATTAAAATAGTGTTTGGAAGATTTTATTAGGGGGACCAGAAATTAATATTGTTTCGGCTCATTAATATCTGTTAGTCTTAAAAAGCAATTCATTTTTTCCCCGATACATTTCGTTTCATTTTCGATCCTGCATTGAAAGGTTGCTACAAACGAGGATGAATACATTATTGATAAAAAATAAAACCTTGATAATAAATATCAAATGCACCGAAGCGATATTACTTTCCGGTTCCCCTAATATATTCGCATTTGTTGAAAAAATTAACTATCAAAGAGAGTTTATACATGCTCGCCATTTATACAATGCAAATTTAATGCGCAAGAGATTCCATCTAAAAAAATTTCATTTTTATCATAACGCAGAAGACAATAGAACTTTTAATAACTTTTTAAGTAAAACTGTACCTCCTTTGCTGTCATTTGTTTGGAACTCTTAATTAAAATAATAATTTTTTCTCTTATTTTCTTTCTTTATGCCGGTATCCGCTCAATTCTTAAACTGAAATTCAAACGAAGATTGTTTCAAATTTAGATCATTATTCTTAATACCCAACCAAGTTTTATGATAAATTTATTTGAACAAAAATGTTGTAAAAAGCAGGTTATATTTACTAAAATGTTTTGTGGTCAAGTAACAAGTCCTACTACATTGATATAAATAAAAAAAAAAACATTTTTTGCTTATCATTATTACAGATGGAACACCTTGTTAATACAGATACACTTGCTAATGCAAGATTTATAAAACTTGATGCAACTTGTCATGTATTACCAAGGTAAGAAACTCCTTTAAGAAATACTTAATTTTTATGTTACTGAAACGAGCTGGATTTTTGATTTTACATAATGCATTTCACAGCCTCAAACAAGCGAAAATTGTATCAGCCACAAGATATATTGGTGGAAAAAACATATTCAAAAATTACAGTGAACTACAAAAACATTGGAGACGCATGGTGAGAAAAGCTTTTCATTGGCGAGAAATTATTCTTATTTTGCTCTATAATTCAAAAAAAAAGAAAGAGAAAAAAATTTAAAATAAAACTCTTCGTTCATAATGATACCCAGCCAATGTTAAAATGCAACTTCGACATACTTTTTTTTTCTTTCTCAGAAGATAATGAACTGATTTCAATCGAAGTTTCCTATTTTGTCTTTCTTATTGAGTTCCAATAAGCAAAGTTAAATTCTGAAAAATTAAACAGTTTAAAAAAACAAGTAAATTAATTGTATTCATGAGGATTTGTTTTAACCTATATTTCCAACAAGATTAATTATTAATTAAGTTTTATTTTTGCTTCATTTTCGACATCACCATCAAGTTAAAGCATACACTAGATGCAATTTACCTTAAACTTAGAAAAAAAGAAAGAAAAAAATTAACATAACTATGGTTTTTTAGGAAATTCATATGAAACAAGCAACCTTTTTTTAAAAAAAGTTACTTTTGAGGCTTTCCACCCTGCTCGCTTCGCTCTCCAACCCCCGCAATTGTTTCTCCATCATTATTGTTTTTCCCTTACAAATTAATAAAAAAAAAATAATGTAAAAAATCTTAATGGCTCAAAGGGATCAGTTCAATATGATCATTAATTAATGTAGACGATACTTTAAATTATGAACTCAGTTGCAAAAGAGGACTTTCTCTGAATAATCATATCTTTTTCTCTTTCTTTTCAAAATATATGCATTCTTGTCACTTAAAAATAAGATGTGCAGTCGCAATCTGAAAAATATGAGACGATATTTTTTTGCAGGGCAGCAGTCGAAACTTTGAACCATTTAATGTTAATTTAGTTTTTTTTAGCTAAATATTATCAGAAAGTCGTATTTTTTAATTTTCATTTCTCAAGAACAGTTCGAATATTCAACTCAAATGTCTTATTCTGCCACTTAAAATTAGATTGATTAATATGAAAAAATTTGCGTACCTTACAATTTAAAAAGTTTTTGACCACTAATTGAATAAAACAGTAGAAAATAAATTTTCAAAATTTTTCTTTCTTTATGGAATTACGCTAGAATAATTAAGCTTAATAATTGTGTGTAAAAAACTTAAGATTCACTTAATGCTTTTAAGAGATGCAACGAAATGGGAAAAAAAATGAACAATATACAAATATGACTTGTTTGTAAGATTAAAGGAAAGTTTTCTAATATGAGACACTCTGTTTGAAGTTAAGATTAGAACATGGAAATTAGTATGATGTTTATTATCATTATATTTAATGTATGAGTGACCGGTGTAAATCATTAGGGATAGGCTAAATTTGCTAAACTCAAGAAAACTGCAGTGTTGAATAAAGCAAAATAACATGGATAAAGAAAAACAACGCAAACAGGGCACAAATAGAGGCAGAAGTTGGACATCTTACAGTTTCGGTTCTATAAACAAGACCCAGTCTATAGTGTCCATTTTTGTGTCTTTATTTTTGCTTTATGTACGCTGTTTTGCTTTATCTATTTTTAAGACAGAGTATAGTCTTTGTTCATTCAGTAACTTCTGCGTTATCGAAAAATAAATTAAATTGTTAACAAATCTGCAAATTCTAGAAAAAGATGTCGTATTATGCTGCACCAAAACTTAATAAAAAAGTTTTTATTGTTATAATATTGAACCACGATTATTTAAAACAATTTCAGGTCATAAAAGAATTTATAAAACACAAAAAAGTATTAACTCGCATTTGGCTAAAAATTCGAAGCACTTCAATGGCATTCCATAATAAGCTCAACTGAGGAAATTGATTCAAACAACATTTATGCTCGTACTAAAGCTCATACATGACTTCAATTTTCTCACTGATTTCAAGCCTTCCCATGTGTATTGGATAGCTTTTTGGTTAAGCTCACCATCTCTTTCGTCTACAATAGGACTGTCGCATGTTAGGTACCTTTTTTATTGGTAAACTTATTTGATATCAAGTAAAAGTTGTTTTCTTGCATTTCAGTACGGTTATCTTCTGCCAGAAGTAAAAGAAAACATTTGGTATCTTAATGTTTGCTTCAGAGCTCAGAATTCTACAAGTTATACGTATCCTTTTAAAAGTTTTTCCTCAATTATCGATAACTCTGGAAAATTATTTTGTAAAAAAATAATGATTCTATAAGTAAAATGATAAATGAATCTAATATGCATTAAGATGGCAGTAATAAATTACAGAAAATTTCACTTAATAACCAAAAGGATGCGCTCAATATTGTTCTCTACAAACAGTGGAATTTTTATTTATTTACATTCTCTTTAATTTTAGGATCTATAAGCGACCGATTAAGTTATTGAACTCCATTGTTGATTCGTGGTTACTTTTTAACTATGCTTTAACAATTTTTTTTCCACGTATTATTTTCCACGTATTTCCACTATTTAAGAAAATGCTTATTATATAAGAAAAATGTTTCGATGAACATTATTTTTTATTTATTACAATATTTAGTTTTAATAAGTAATTGTTATACAATTTTATAAATGGCAACTTTATAGGGATCAAGAGAGCTCATATTTTAAAAATTTGTAAATTTTAAACATTATATGTGTGCTTTTAACTGTTCATAAGTTTACCATTCTTAACAAATGCTCTTCAGTGACAGATAATGCATGTTTATATGATGTCAATTTTTAAATAGTTTATGCATAAGTATCTTTATGATACAGTAATTATTTAATAATTAGTTTTAAAACTAAACTTTTTTGATTATCAGTGTGTTATAATTTGCCATAATAAGTTATTTTCTTAACTTTGAAAGATATCCCGAGTTTTGTGTCAAACCGTATGATGCAATTCAAGTACCTAGAGTTGATCCACGTTCTTCCCTGGTTTGTTTCGTAAAAGATTTTTGTAAAAATATTGGAAATATTTGTGGAGAAAAATGCAAAATTATTGAATGTAAAGCTTCCTTTCCTTCCCTTGATATGTATCCAGCTATCGCTATAAGAGAGGTAAGACCTTTCATTATCATCCAATATTTATTATTTAAACGCTGCAGATAAAAAATAACAATTATGATTGAATTTTAAAGAATCTTTCATTTCAATTTAATAAGGGAAATTATATTTCAAAATACTAACAATTTACGACTTAATAAAATTTCTTTCAAAAAATGGTTAAATAACAAATTATGTAATTGTTATTTTACCATATTTTATCATAAAAGTCAAATTATCATAAAAAAGATGGTATTCAATCTGTTAACTGTCAGAAAAATTATTAATTGACTGTTTTCGCCAACTAGCCCCACAGCCAATGAAAATCGAGTGCATGTTCTTCGAAAGCTGAAAGCTAGGCTAGGTCAAGTGATTAAGTTAACGATTTCATATTTTTATTTTCCATCATCAAATTATTAACATAACAGCAAATGACTAATTATCTTAATAAAGATGAAGCGATAGTGAAGCTTATGAAAAACTACTTATTTCCTTTAATTTAGGTGCACACAAGAGGGCTAATTTGTCAATCTCATGACTGGCTTAACTGATGTTCGAATTCCAGCGTTGACACTACAATATTTATACCATTCCTTCCATACACGAGGAGTTTCTAGTGCTCTGCATAACCCTGGACTTTTGGAATACGAAATCTTTCTCTCGCATAGCACCACCACAGAGCTCCTTAACAAAAAAGACAAGCATTTCTCATGTCTCGTGATAGATGGCACCACTAGACACATTCCACGGCTCACTTGATAAACAACTCAATCGCTACCTAATTCCAATCTCTACAAACTAACGAAAAGCCTAACATAATCTAACTCTTATGTTCACTTGAATTTAATTTTAACGGTTTTAAAACTTTGATAGTCGTAAATGGTTACAAAATCAAACTGTAAGCTGTTTCAAATTCGAGAAAGACAAAAAAAAAAAAAACATTCTTTATTGTGAATTTTATGGTTAAATGGATGGATAGACTGTCACCGGTTATTTTACATTAATTTTCGAATAAAAATTCTAATAGTGTATCTAAAACATTTTCCCCTCATGCTTCCGGAAGCTTAAATTCTCACTTGATCGGTTTTTGTCAACACATTTTGATAATACAATAAATAATTTTTCTATCCCCTTTCTTAACAAAACAATATTACATAAAAATTTTTTTGATAAATTTTTTTAATAAAGAGTTATTTTCTCAATGAAAATTAATACTTTTTTATGGAACAATATATTATTTTTTGAGATAGAAATTTTTCGATAAACAGAGAGGTAAAAATCATTCATTCATTTCTATTTCGTTGAATAAAAATCCCCCGTCGAATGCTATTGATTTCACTTAATTGACTACCATTGAGCATTTCAAGCATAAATATTTAAAAAAATGATATTTGTAGTTTAAAAAAATTATTAATTATTTTTTTTAATTTTCTGGTTCAAAAATTATGAAACTCGGATCAGTATAAATAAAGATCTCCGACTTGCGGGGAAAAAAACCAATTCAAAAGAAAAAAATTTAAATAAAGAAATTTTCTGTTTTTCGGTATTTATACTACTTAGTTACTGGATTAGAGATATTGTTAACACCGAAAACAATGCACTATTTCTAATTCTGCAGACTTTTAACTGCAGGCTTTAATGCATGACTTTAATGCATGATGATCAATCTCTTCAGTTTAAAGTTAAACTTTTCAAAAGATTTAAATCCATATAATTCTTTTAAAAATAATTTTAAATTATATTTTTCATTTTTACAGAATGTAGCAGAAAACACAAGTTACACGTTTCGCCCCTTCTAATTCTTTTGCCTCTTTTTTTTAATCAAATTACAACGACGATTATAACACAAAACAAGTGCAATTTTCAAGTGAATCATATGTTTAATTTTTAGTTAATTTAGTATTTATATGCTTTTAGGACATGAAACCCAGACCTGGAACTACTTTTGCAATGAACTCAACTACTTCTTACCGAAAAAGTGAAAAAATAAATGCTTCTTCAACTTCAGCACAAAATCCTTCAGTGCTTCAAAAAAGCCAAAATGATCATTGTTATAAAAAAGATTTAGCCGCCATTCAAAATGATCAAAAGAAAACAAACATTTCCATTTCTAAATTGTGCCAACCCGGAGAAAATAATTCAAACAAATATCACGAGAATTCTAAAGAAAAGCAAATTGATGAGAAAAAAGCTTTTATTAATTGCAATGATAAAAGTTCATCAAATTCCGAAGCGTCTTCAAAATATGCACCAAATTTTTCACGAAAAACTCCTGAGAAGAAGTTATTGCAAATGAAGCTAACAGAATGTTTAAATGAAGAAAAGAAATTTGCACCAACATTTTTTCCAATTAAGAAAAAAACCTACCATGCATTTTTAAACAATGAAAAGGATGGGAGTATTAAAAAATCTAAATCGATGAAAAGTGGTATCAATAAAAATGACGTATTGTCTTCGAAGAAAACTAAGAAAACTTCTGAAAAAATAAAACAAAAAGGAAGGAAATGATTTCATTCAATAAACTATGATTTTTAATCGATCAAAACAAGATAGACAATTACTTTACTATATGCTACCATTCATGCTTTATATAGATAGATTAAAACCCACTGACGGTTCTGCACGTAAAAAGTCGCATTTTAACCTGCAGTCTTCTCTGCATAGCAAAACCGGTTTTCCCATGTTAACTGATAGGGGAACTGTGTGTAGGGGAGAAACATTCTCCCAATTTTGCCCATTTCCTTAACCGCCAGTGGGTTGGAAACGTCTATGGAAGTTAGGAAATATTACTAATACTTACGTATGTCGCATAGATTTAATTTGAAATTTTAAATGTCTTTTGTTGAATGATGAACGTTGTTTCGTCATATATTTCTTGCATTTAATTAAAAAGACTGATAATAAGAAAAAGTTTAATTTAATTATTGCATATTACAAAATGTTTCAATCGCAATTCTCTCGCAATTTACATTTTATTAGATACTTCATCTTTTCAAACGTATTCATCCACTTAATTTAATTAACATATTTTTCTATTTTACAAATATCCTTTACAAAGAATCATAACTTACCTGTATACTGTAGTTTGAATCTTAAAATATAAAGAAAAATACCACACAGATTTGTCATTAGACATGTTTGGAGCTTATTTGGAAATATGATTATTACTGAAGGTTCACAAATATTAAAATAAAAATTCTATAAAAATCATTTATTGTAATAAACATTACATATTTGAAAAGTGAATCGGTATTTTTCTGGAGAATTGCCTACATTGCTCTATAATACTCATCAAATGCGAAATATAATTGTTATTTCATTGCCTATACACCCTTATTTTTATATTTATTAAATCTATCCATAATTTTATTAATTTTTAAAAATATAAATATTAGTATCATTTTTGTAGTGTACGTTACACTCACGAAACAACGCTGAAACAACTGGAAAAAAAAATCCATTTTGACAAAAAGTCACCAAAAGAACATATGGGACCATAAAACGGCACCATAAGGAGGAAGAGAAAAAAGGAAAAAGTTTACTTTAAAAAAGTTTACCCCAAATATGGTATATAAGGAAATAGTTAATATAAAAGTCTATAATATCGTTTTAAAGTATACGATTGGTTGAAACGTATGAATTTCCGATAATACCTAAAAATTTTGATAACATTATTTCTTTGTTAATGACAATGCTCAGCATTTAATAGATTAATGCTGCTTAATGCATTCTTCTTAACAATACTTAATATTTCTGGCTTATGCTTGAGTGATGCAGACATAATGTTCCTAATGTCAATTTCTCCCGACAGATTAATAATGAGTACATTCATATGTTTTGATTAATATGTAATCAAAAATATGTTCGGACATCTAAAAGTTTAATTAGATCAGTCATTTTGTAGACTAACATGCTGTAACATTTTGAGATTTTTCGAGACCTGCAGGATGCAGCATCTACCATCTAGCATTTCATATTTCATTTCAAACATGAAAAAGATTCCAGAGCATTAAATAAAACTTATGCACTCAGCTTAATATTATTATATTTGAGTTAAGTCAGTATTATTTTAAGAGTGCTGCATGTAATGCAAGTAGATGACACGTTAAATAATTCTGGCAATCGAAATTATAGCAACAGCAGTTATTTTTTCTTTTAAATTTGTTTCTGTTTATTTAGATTATAAAATATTGTTTTATATTAATTATTAACTTTTAATGTTTATTACTGTAACACACGTGTTTCCATACAACGCATAAAATGGATTCAATTTTTACGAAGATTTATAACATTGCTATGCTATTTTTAGTAACCAAAATAACAGTACTTCAGTGAAAACAACATTTCAATATTCATTGATCTAAGATCTCAAGAAGAAAAAAAAAGTGTACTTTCAATTTCAACGTAATAACATAATGATGTAACAAAAACTCTTAAGCTGATTAGATTATGTTACGTAATAAAGCGTCAAAAAACTTTCACTTACAAAAAAGATAAGGGTAAAAAACGAAATGGAATTTTTTTCCCGAGGGTGCATATTCCTTCATTTGCTATAAGACCGCTACAGAGAGTGAAATACCTTGCCAGCAATAATGGGGGTAATTAGGAATATTTCTACTACCGTTTCTCAACCTAATTCGCCACTGATACCCTTCGTAGTACCCCCACTGTTTCGTCAGGAGGGTTAAGAAATAATGTCACGAATTTTTACTTCCTCAAAATTCGCAGGGGGATTCCTAGATGGTATCTAATTATAGCATGGATGGATGCAATCAGATTGATACAATGTTAAGTTTGAATTAATTATGAAGCGTGAATGGTAAAACCTGATTCTATAATCAAGGATCTACCTAACGATGAACCGAAGTATAAATATCGGGGAGTCTGACAAAAATCATCATTCCTGCTCAGGCGATAATTACAACACTTTGTAGTGTTTTTAGGAATAGCTATTAAAGGTAAGTTGCATTTATTCTTCAACACTCATAATTTGGAGCTTTGCTGTATAATAAATTGGGAGAATTATTTCTTTTTAGATTTTACTTTGTCATTTGTTTTGTTAACTTTATATACTTTGTAACAGTAGCTTCTACACTTTGCTTTGACTATTATTTGATTTTTTTGGATAACTGAGTCGATTTATTGGACAACTGACAAGCTGCTGTTGGGACTGTTATTGTCTTTGAATGCTGATGCATAAGAAGGCAAGAGAAAATTAGCAATGAAGTTTTTACAACTTTCAAATTGTTGCTTTAAAATTAATTTTTAAATAAATGAAAGACTTAATTTTATTTTAATTTGCACAAAAATTAATGTCCAAAATTAAAAGTAATTTCAAATATCAAGCAGTTATAAAATCGTTTGACTAATGAATTGTACTCTTTTACTAAATTTAATAGATTTTTCTATTTTTAATAAAATATGCAATATTAAAATAATTTTGGATAATAATTTAGGTACTTTTCCTACCAGGCATAAGAGAAAAGTCGTCAGAGACCTCCACCAAAATTTCTTTACAATTTCTTCTATTTAATTTTTTAAACATATAAGCATTAAATAAAATTTAAAAAAATTTAAATTAGATAGAAAAAAATGGTTGAATTTTCTTGCACCGGCTAACAGAAAAGTATTACAATTTGCTGCAGTAGAGCGAAACATGAGCCCAATTTGAAAGTCTATTTAAAAATATTTCTTTTAAAAAACATAGCTGCGTTTTTTATTTGTCAAGAATAAAACAGCTTTAAACTCCATCTGAAAAAAGAAAATTAAGTAGAATTGAGGGTTTCGGAAAAAAAACCTTTACCGTTGTACTATGAGAATTAACCATTTGGGATGATAATAAAATCAATAACAATTAAATATGATAAATAATTAATTTATCAAAATTAATTATTATTAATTTATTAAAATAAGTAATAAATTATGATAAATAAAATATGAGTAATAAATATTTGTATCATTTTACAATAGGAATATGAAGAAATCAAATATTGTGGCTATTTTGCTTTTTTCTGCTTTACTCCTGAGTGTGACTGTAGTTGAAGAAGCTCATGCTTTAAAAAAGAAACTCATTAAGGCTCTACTGGTGACGAAATTGTTGCAAGGGAAAAAGTTGATTGTGTTGCCCATTCCTCTGCTCTTACCGTAAGTGCAAATATTTTCTTAATTAACAAAATTATTTGTACCCTCTTTGTTTGCAATTTCACTAGGACTTTTTTGAAATTTAATTACAACAATGTGTACTTTTTATAGAAGTGGTAGATGACCAGATTATCCCTAATGAGATATATTTTTCAGATTTAGTCTTAAATTAAATAAATTGAAACTCGATTTTGATGATTTGCTTATAACTAGTCTTGACGGATTGTGTGACAAGCTTTAATTATTCATGGAGTAGTTTAACAAATTCATTCATGCAATATTTTAACTACGTAAAAATGTGCATCCTCAAGCACAAACACGTTTTTCCAGAAAATAACTCAAGCTTTTTATTTTTTAATGGATTTATTCCACATTTAAAATATGGAGTGAATTTAGACCAGCACACGAAATTTCCATTCGCCAGCTCGCCATTAGCGACCTAATATTAAAGGCTGGCGAGTAGCATTTGTTTAGTAACATGCTGCGTTTCAAATCAGACTATCCATATTTTTCATAGAGATGTTAGTTTTAATTTGAAAACTATTTAAGAGAGAGCCAGGATGCCTCTTGGGATAGAGTGTTCGCCTTCCAATAAGGTGAACCGGGTTCGAAACTCAACGACGGCTGGTCGATACGAATTTCGCAGCAGGCTCTCACCGACCACAGCGCTGAGATAAAATATCCTCAGTGATAGACGGATCATGGGTTACAGTATGTGGGTTAGTTTTTATCAAAAAATCCTCCATAAAGGGAATTCTTTCCCAATACTTGATCCCGGAGTTCCCTTGTTTTCTGGATTAGGTTCAAAATTACAAGGCTACGTAGTTGAACATTGGTAGTAGTAAGCTCAAAAATTGTGTCTGCTGTTCAACGACTGTTATAAAGTAAAACACCCCCTTCCCCAACAGAGTTTTATAACCGGGTTGAAATTGATGTATGGTATTTTAGTGTCGAATGGTAGTAATATACTACTATAAATTATTAAAAAGTATGGAAACATTTCTGATGTTTTAATATTTTTCGTATTTTAATAACTTTTAATGATATGTGAATAACATTGGAACCGTGTAATTCTTTTTCTTAACTAATAGTCATTTTTTAGTCATAAACTAGTTTTAGTCTTCCATTTTCAACTTTTTCATTTTTTTATGGTTTTGGTATTCAATTATTTCTTTATACTAAATCTGTTATCATTTTAAAAATTATTTATATTTTTCGGGAAAATAGGGGTGAGAAAATTTTTCAGTCTGAATCTACTTTAGTCTTAGTCTACTTTAAAACTGAAATTTCATGCTTATTTATACAATTATTCTCAACTAGAAAATAAGTAAAAGATTTTGGTTAAATGTAAAACTAGATTACTTAAAGAAATCTTAAGAAAAAATTAGGATAAAAAATGGTGAAAACATACAAAGTTGCAAGGCTCTACAATTTTTACATAATGTTATGCAACTTCAAAAGTGAAAATCTGAAACGTAGAATAAATCTATTGAATAGTTTTCAAGAAATAAACTGCAAAAGTAAAAAAATTTGTTTCTCAGGAATTATTTGTTCTAGTAGTCAGGAATAAACAATTATGTTCAATTTTAAAAAATTTCTCATTTTTCCTTTTAAATAAAATTTCTTTTGATAGTCACTCAAAACATAAAATAAATATAAATATATGTAAATATATATTAGAAATTTTATTTTGAAAAGTGTTATCATTAGTATAGAAGTTTTAGAAATAGGTGACAACATCTTTTGATTCGCGTAATGAGTTCTAGAGCCATGATAAAAAGCAGAAAAAGAAAGGATATTATTACGGGATCCAAACTTTCAACCAATTTTTTTGACAAATAATGGGGACATATAATTGCGACCACCCCCATACTTTGAGATTCAAGCAATAAAAACCTATCAAAATTTTTTTTCCAGAGAAAATACTATTTGGGCTTGATTTGTAACTGAAACTAAATTTTTGATTTTTTAATTAGCATATATAAGATAATTCCTTCGAATAATTAAGTTCGTTTGTTGAAGCTTTTTTTCAGAAGTTAAAAAAAGGGCCATAAATTAAGCACCTTAAACCTTAAAACTTCTATTCAAACAAATACTATAATGCTGAAAATAATTGCCAGTACTTAAAAATGAACAAATAGCTTATATATTAATAATTGCCAATTTGGAGAGATTGTTTTTCCTTACATGAAAATCATTAAAATTTAGGAGTTTTAATAAATTTCTCTTAAGATTTATTTGCTAATTTTAGAGCTCGAGCAAAGCTGCATTGATACAACTTTTCAAACAAAAAATTGACAAAATTGTGGCAACAAAATTACAAAACTTTAACAAAATTGTGGATTTTTGTCTCATTGACATTTTTGTACTAATTTCTTGATTAGTATAGATCACCATTTTCATATTTATTACTATTAGCTTAAAATAACTGTTATAATTTCACAACAGAAATAAAAATATCATGAGTAGCAAAAAAGCGTTATTTTATAAGACGACAGGTGCTTTTGAGCAACAGCCTAAATACTACATTTTACATCAGTAAGTAAAAATTTTACTCTTAGATAAGTCATCCAAAGTATCTCACTTATTGTTCAACTGATTTTTACAAAAAATAAGTAGATAAAATTTCAAAAATATAACTGAATATGATCTGAAAATCTATGAAAATGTTATTTTTATGTTGTATTAAACTCTGCAAAGTAACACATTTTTTTAAATTGTTAAACAAAGAAATATTAGAATGCATTATAAATATAGTCAATAAAATAGAATAAAAGTCTAACAAAAATATTTTTTCCTTAGAGTTATCTTTGGACAAACAAGTTTTATTATTGTTGGCAAATTTCTTTTAATTTGCTTTGATAGTTTCAGAGCTATGCTGCAACAAGCAAATAATAAAACTAAACCATCATTATGATGCTCAAACTTTCGAAAACAGAATCGCAGTGAACAGAATAGAATATTTCCAGGTTCTAATCCCAGCGGTTGCTGGTTGTTACGAATTCTGCTACCGACTCCAGCGCTGTCACAAACTATCCTTAATGATAGAAGGGGATAATGAGTTAAAATCCATTTGCCTTTCGGTTAACCAGGGGAGGTTTTCCTCTTCATGTGACGCATATGTGGATTAGTTCCATCATAAGGTCGTCCACGAAGGTTAGTATGTTTCACTGCTTGATTCAGGTATTCCCTCTACTTCTGGGTCAGGTTCAAAATTACAAGGCTATGGAGTGTGAATTGAACATTGAGAGTAAACTCTAAATTGGATCTGTTGGTCAACGCATATATA